TTTGACCCATTAACCATAAATATTTTTCATTTTTTCTTAAAACTTTTTGTGTATGCATTTGTGTTTTAAATGATAAAGTATAAAAAAGACAACTCTAATTTTAAAGATTGTTGAAGTTTTGACCAAAACGCGTTTGATTTGAAATATAGAGAAAACGGTATGCATCTTACTCTGGTTAGTCCGGGTGCTTATATTTGCAGTGATTTTGAGGCGCCTTTAGGAAGTCAAAAAAGCTTAGAAAAACAAACCAAGTCATATGATATTGCCCATCTAGGGGGGGGGGGGGTTACATTTGATTCTATGTCCTAAATGCTGCATAAAGTGTAAACGTTGTCAATGGCAAACAACGACTTATACTTTTATTAATCTAATTTTAGAAAGCTCTCAGAAAATATTTCTAAAATTTTGACAACATTCTTTATTTTAAGAAAACATCATTTGAAAACAATTATTTTCGCGCAAAATTGAAAATTTGAAGAAAAAGTTCAGAATTTATTGTCAGAAAATTTCAACAGCCTTAGACCAATACTTTTTGAGTTATGTAAAAAAAACTTCACGGGGGGGGGGGTCAAATTGACCCCCCCCCCCTAGCAGGAATAGGGTTAACAAAACATCATTTGAAAACAATTATTTTCGCTCAAAATTGTTTAATTTAGCACAAAACACAGAAGAATTTGAAGAAAACGTTCAGAATTTATTGAAAAATTCACATAGTGTAAGTTTTTTTTTTCCTCATTTGTCATTCACAATTAAGGTTTCCAGGAAACGAAACGTTTCGCGAAAAAAAAGCGAAAATTTTCTATCGCATTTTGCAAACTTTTTAGCTAAATTTCGCATTTTTTCGCGAAATGAAGCAAAATTTTGCGAAAATGAAGTGAGTTAAATATAGACAGTTATATATTTTTCACTGAAGTACAGAGTGTCCCAAATCATATTTGATTATCTCCAAGCTTTGACGCCAAAATACGCCCCTAATACTTGAAACCCCTAGTATTTTCTGCAAGAAACTTTTATAAAACCTTTTACGTTTTTTAAAAATGATTCATTGTTTTCAAATTTTGTGATTAGTCCCTAAAATCAAAATTTTGAGCTATACAAATCTAATATGATGTGGGACACCATGTACTACATTTTACAAAGGAATTGAGTCTTTGTCATAAACTCAAAATTTCAAATCTCTTAACTCATTTGCAACCTGATAGCGTACACATTTGTTATTTTAAACTTAAATTATTCTACTTAACAAAATGTTTAGTTTAAAATATCCAAGGTCTACGACATTGGGTTACAAAGATACAAGAGATTAGAAAATTTGAGTTTGTGGCAAAGACTTAATTCCTTTACATACTATTTTTAAATCATCATTCATACTTTTTTTATAAGCATATTTATTTTCGTATAATGATAATCATTCAAGCATTATGCTATAATCTGTCTTTTAATAATTAATAATTTGTAGATTTAAGCCATACTAAAAGAGTAATTTGGATTGCTTTTCATACCTATAAAGCTTTCAATGGTTTATCATAATTTAACACCTTTTAAATTAGCAATAACATTCTTTTTTTCTCATATGGTTACATTTTGTAATTTGATTGAATAAAAGTCTTTTTTTCTTCTTTTTTTTGTCTGATAAGCATGGATTTCTTCTTATTTCTAGCACTTAAATCAGATTTAAGTGTACAGTGAATATTGGATTAACTGGTGTAAAAGGGTTAAGTCGGCCGGTTTTTATGCAATTTGAAATAGGTAAAGAATTCTGTTGAAATGAAAATTATTCGTAAGTGCTTATTTAAGGATGACTGTCGACCGAATGTTATCTTTATTCTTAACTAGATGCTGTTCCTCTATAAGAGCACAAGTAAGAAGGGATTCGTCAAGTAGATGTACAGTCGCTCAATTATGGTATTAAACTCAAGGGCTAGGAATGAACAGGAAGGATGCTGTGAACTAAATATCATCACAAGAGCAACAGGTAAACCTACGATTGCGAACACATAGAGAATGGTCCCGGGCCTTTTGTACAGAAAACAGAGTATGTTCAAATATTCATGGGTGGCGTTTGTTATCTTTGTCTCTTCTTTGACCTTGTTTAGTTGCTCAGTGTTAATACAACTTTTCGCCCATTTGTCTGGAGAGCATTGAATAGAAAGCCTTCTGACATGCGTTATAGACTTAACTGGTCGTGGCATAGGAAGTATTGTCTTTTCCACTGGGGATTCCACATAAAAGACAGAAGGGCAGGATCCCCATTTTGATTTTTCAAAATCAACAGCTTTTGTCGGTTCTTCTTCTTCCCCTTGAGGTTTGGTCAGATTCTTTTTCTGTAGATCAATGTTGTTACTGGAGGGCACAACAGTATTTTTTCTTCTTATTTTTAACATTTCTTTTTTGATAGCTAGACCAACCTTGATGAACTCAAGAAATAAACAAATGCTTGTGAGGATGGCAAATGTTGGAAATAATTTACATACTCCAGTTTCTGTTTCTTCTTCCGATAGATGTTTGACAAGATCTGTTGTCCTTGAACAGGTTCTATTTGTTTTAACATTTTGTATTCCTAGTTCTTTTCTGAGTGCAATTCTTGTTATCATCTGATCAACTTTAGAACCATCACTGTAGATATTACAATGAACTGCTGAGTAGATATGATCTAGAACAACTATCAGAAAGCTAACACTTCCACTGAGAATCATCCATATGGGTTGGTCAGTAGCGTTTTGGAATGTTGCCGGACTAACAAATAGCAGAAGGCGAGCTGCAGATAGGGTACAGACAAGTCCAGCTTGAAGCAGTATGTAAGGTCTCATTGAGAACAAACTAGTGCTCAGGATCGGTTGGTTTTGAAAAAATGTAGAGAGTGTCGAGTTGAACCAACATGCTGGTATAGACAAGATGTATGTTCTTCCAAGTAGAAGCAAACTTCCAAATAGATACAGTAGGAATATTCGGTTTGTTGGACTTTTCTGATGTTTGTTTAGATCTTTGATGAGATTAACAGTTGAAAGCCCTGTAACAAGAAACCCAACAGTGTTTACTACAAAACCATAATAATTAGGCATTGGGGGTGCAGTGACAACTACACAGCAATATAGAGCTAAAGCCACTCTAGCCCATTTCAAGGTTATCATTTTCTCTTTATCCTTGGTTAAATTTTCAATTAGAAATAATAGGTTATTACCATTGTGAGAGAGAACTTGGTTAGAACTAAATACATTATCTAGGAGAGAGAAGGGCTCTCAAATATAGGAGAAGACATGCTTTACTCTGGAGGACATAAATGCTAAACATAGATAAAAAGATAAAGTGGCATGCTGTTGTTTATAATAAAATGAATTATTATTTTGTGCTCCATGCTTTTTAAAGGAAGTGTCTGGCTTGACATGGTAGTTGAGCATGGTTTTTAAATGTGTATTGTGTTTACACATTGTACAGTACAAATTGCATGTTTACTTCTCATTTGATACATTTGGTTACTTAATTAGAGCACAAAGCAACAATTCATGTTGTGAAAAGAAACCTTCTTCAGGGTTGTCTGGAATATTCTGACCCTTTACTACATAATTTTATATAACTTGGGATTTGCTTGCATGTATCTACCCATTCCCAAGCATGAAAAAACATAGTTAAGGCTTTTTTATTTTGCATTCTTTTTTCTTCATGAATGCTTATTAGTAATTTCCTAGAGAACGATTTTTGAACCCCCCTTCCCCCCCCCCCCCCTATCAATTTTATATATGGATCTCAAATGTTACAGATGGATATAGTTTGTTATGTTGCTGCTGTGCCTGGTGTGGTAACAGGTCGCCCAATAACGTTTCACCCGATCATGTTTCACCCAAAACGTTTCACCCAATTTTAGGTAAAATAACGTTTCACCCAATAACGTTTCCCCCAATTCACGTTTCACCCAAAACGGAGGATAGCTTGGCCAGGACCAAGCTACAAGAGCTTGATACAGTCAGACGTGCTGACCCAAACCGATTTAGAACTGAACGTTGGTCAGCCCGGATGGCAAATCTGAAGACTGCACTTCAAACTTTCAATACAAACTTTATCAAGGAATTCATGTTTGGACTCCAAGAGGATGCATAAATTGAGCAGTAATTAGAATAGCTGTAACCTTATCTATACAATTTTAATAAATTAAAAGATATAATTTTTAAAAAGGTCAAAATAAATTTTGCAAGATTTTTTTTTGGGGGGGGGTTAGTGTAGTTTGGGTGAAACGTGAGTTGGGTGAAATGTATTTTGGGTGAAACGTGAATTGGGTGAGATGTTATTTTGGGTGAAACATTATTGGGTTAAACGTTTTGGGTGAAACGTGATTGGGTGAAACGTTATTGGGCGAACTGTTACCACACCCTGTGCCTGGCCCCCAAGCATGTCCTTGCCGCGGCGCTCGGCCCCCTAGCCAGTGCTAGCTGCAGCGCTCCGCCCCCTAGTCTGTCCTAGCTGTAGCGCTCAGCCTAGATATTGTCTTAACCTAACCTAACCCTAAAATAATAAAAAATAAATATTAATAATTTTGCTGAAAAAAAGTGGTCATGTACAAAATTGATATGAGATTGTTATCTAGGACACAGACCCTGCTTATTTTTGTTTGTTAATGATTTCAAAATAAATGGTTGCGATTATTGCAGAATCTTCTATTGAAAACTTGCTGTTCTTAAACGAAACTTTGTCCAGTCCTACTGCACAAATATCCATAGAACTATGAAAGTTATTTCGATGTTGTTTTTACTCCCCAAGTCACTTAAACGTTTTTAAAGCCCTAGACATATTGTTTTTTATTTCAAGCTTATATGTAAAAACCAGAAATTGGCAAAATACTGCTCTTTTTTACGTTTGAGGGTGCTCATCTTGGTTTGCATTGTCACTTTTAAATGTTTATTCTAGAGTTTGTAAAATGTTCTCTCTGAACAAGTTGTATGATCTGAAGAGAGGAAGGTAGAAATAAGAAACTCTGATGCAAGTATTGTTATTAAAACAATGGTATTCGGGTAGTTAGTTCTGGGACTTTTACATACACTTTGCTTTTCCTACAAAATGCACTGGAAGTAGGTTGGAAATTGTAAAAATGGTTTAAACCTAAGATAATATTTTTATTCTTATCAAATATACATCTTACAAAGATGAGAAATCAACCTTATTTATCTGCTAATTGAATTAAAACCATACTCATTGCAATATATTAAATCTTGAGGCGTTCAGATTAATACACTAATTTTAAGAGATGTATGGTTTAGCCCTAAAATATATTTTTGTGACAAGTTTTTCTAGTTTTACTTTTATGTTGTTTATATACATGTGAGAACTTAAGCACATAAATAGGGTAGCTGAAACAATTTTCATGAATGCAATTTGAAGCTTGCCCAGTTTTCAAATAAATAAACCAAACAAATTTAATTTAGATTTGCATTGCTGATAATTTACCAAATTCCCATCATTTGTACACAGTAAGTAATTTCTTTAACCTGATTTCAAAATGAACCATTCATGAAAGTAAAATAAAGAAAAGAGAAAGAACGTTTGTTTTAAAGAATTTTTTACATTTGGATGAAATATTTTATTTTTAGCATTTGTTGTTTTTGTTTATTCCCTCAATTTGTCTAACAGTTAATAAACAGTTTTAATAAAGTTTGAATGTAACAAGCCCTTGCTCACGCACCCTTGACCCTCTAGTAAAAGTAAATTCAACGTAAAGTCTGTCCGCGTCAACCTTGTTGCACCGGCTAGTCTTATTGAGTGTATGCTTTGTTAACCCAATGTACAGGCGATACAGTACAAACTGGGATTGGAACGGTTGATCCGGCTCGGAAATTCAAATGTACAAGGATCAAGTGGAAAATTTTGATTAAAGTGACTGTACTTTCAAGTGATCTTCCATCCCCAATTCACAATGGTTCCCTTTAAACCTTTTAAAATTATTGAGGAGAAAGAACTCTGTGTGTATATTTCTTAAATGATGTGTACAAATGGGAGTATACGCTGGCCCACTGTTCAACACAGATGCCATCACATCCTGGAAAATCTAGAATATGTCTAATTGGGTTTTCCAAAATTTGAATGTAAATATTTCTATTCTGCCACATCAAGAAAGTAAACATTAATATTCCTCCAATAAAAACGGCTTGCAAACAAAGTTTTCAACGTTTGCAAGTGTTTCACTGTCATATTGCCAGGCTGCATTTGTTGTATGAAACGTGGCAGTGTAGACAATTTGACTGAATGCATATACAGAATATGTTGTACAGGAACTGATCATGCAACATTTTGAGTCACATGGTTTTTGTCCATAAATAAAGAAAAATATGTCATCCTTGATTAGTCAAATGTGTTTTTAACTTTAATAATTTATTTTAATTAAATTAACTTTTATGATATCAGATTTCTATATCTCTTGATTTTCTTTTTTTCTTCTTAATCGTCCATCCTTTGTCCATCCTTCAATCATACTTAAGCTAATTTTAAAAATAAAAGAAATGATGTTTTTGGATATCCTTGCAGTTAGCCAAAATTGCAAGAAAGAACTATTTTTCCAACCCTGTAATTTGGAAATATTCTGAATTCTTGAAGGCAAGAGGGGGTTGAGAGGAGCAAGGTCACTACCCTCTCCCCTTGCATTGCTTTCATATTTTGCTTGAGTCAGCTGTTCTACACATTTTCCAGCATGTTTTATTTCGAGTAGGAATACATAGAGGGGAGGGGAGGATTTAACGTCTGCCATCCGATTGTATTTGTCTTTATACCCTGTGTATTTGTCTTCATTCCCTATTGATGAAAAAAATAGATAGTGTAAATCTCAAATCCCCTGCTAATTTTCCTGTTAAGTTGTCTTCTTCTTTCTTGTTTATCTTGTTTTTTCCAAATAGTTTTTTTCGGGTTGTGGAGCAGGTAGAATAGAGAGTTTTGTAGGAGGAAGGAGGTTTGTAGGAGGAAGGGTATAGGGGATTACTACCTGTTGTCCTTCTTTATTATACTCTTTCCAAGTTAGGTGATTAAGGAAAACCCATAACTGCACCCCTTATGCAAAATGGGGAGTTGTGATCCCAGAAAGCTCTCTTGAGAGGATTCTTCATAGCAGTTCAGGCCTCACATCTGGTTGAGTAAAAAACTGGTATCCTTTTCATGGCTTGTATACCCACGAGGGGTTAAACTACTTCTTTCAGCACACCAAGCTGAAAATAAAGTTTTGTTTTAATCTATGTACAATTCTTGCTTCCCCTGTAGTCAAATGTGTAAAGGGTTGTGAATCAGGGAATTGTGAAAAGTCAATTAGAATTACACTTACAGTCCCTTTAATATTTTACTCTTGAAATTACACTTACAGTCCCTTTAATATTTTACTCTTGAAATTACACTGACAGTCCCTTTAATATTTTACTCTTGAAATTACCGCTTACTTACAGGGCCTTTAAATCATGTTTCATGATTGATAGGTAGAGTCACATCCAATTAAGGACTCCTAAGAGCTTTTCTATAATTCAAATTATAAAACAACTATATTATTTTAGGAAGCCAGTAGTCAATTCAACTGCTATAACCAGCAACTTAACAAAGGCTAATTTAGAAGGATCAAAAAACCCGGAAAATGTACCCAAAGCAACGCATGTGAATGCCACCCTCTTGCTAAGTCCAGGAAATTCAACAAGAGCTAATCCAAGAAATATTACCAACACAAATCTGGGAAATTCAACCAAACCAAATCCAGGAAACTCAACCAAATCAAATCTAGAGCAGGCAACCAACCTGAATGCAACATTATTAAACGAAACAAAGCTGGTGAATGTTTCAAGCCCTAAAACTAGAATGAATGCTGGACCTAGACGAACAAATGTCCTTATTCCACAAATAATTTCAAGAAGTCATGGGGGCCTTCACAATATTTCAAATCATAGAGTGGTATTGTATAAAGCTTATATTTTAGTAGCATTTATGCGGATTCTCGCACAAATTAGATTATTAGAGTTACTTAAATTAGCTTAATTGGCAGCACTGCAAACAACACAGAAGGAGAAGGTCAAAGGAATCGAATTTTTGCCACAAACTCAGATTTTATAATCCCAAAATCTTTGCAACGCAATGTTGTAAACCTTAGATATTTCAAACTATGAATTTTGTTAGATCCAATAATCTTAGTTTGAAATATCAAAGGTTTACATCATCTGGTTGCAAAGATATACGGATTAGAAAGATTGAGTTTGTGGCAAAGACTCAATTCATTTCTTGTTTTGATTTTGTGCAATAAAATAGCAAAACTCGTTTGCATGATGGGGAGTCACAACATTCTTTTCCTTCTTGATGCTCTTTGATAAGTTATGATTAAAAAACACATAAGATTTCAAACTTCCGTGCAATTTACTTTAGTTTAACTTAAAAATGAATGGGGGTAAAGGCTCAATCCGAGTCACATTTTCATATGATCGCTAGTAACTTAACTGGTAATGTTACATCGTCTATACCTACTAAATTTCCCACCTACTGCAATATGGGACCTACGCCAGCTGTTTATTTTTGTTTTATTTGAGGGTCAGGTTAGGTTAAGACAATTCTCGAAATTGAAATGAATATTCTCAAAAGTTACACTCGCACCCTAAGAGTAACTGTTTTGAATACAGTTTTTAAAAGTACTAAATTACGGATTGAGTGGTTATGCAACTTAGAAGTAAGCTAGTTGTGATAGAATTCGAGTTTTATTCGGATTCAGTCTATACCCCATTTTTAGTATTACAAACCACCCCTTCCAGAATGTTTTTTTGTTTAGTGCAATTCTCTTTCTGATGTATTTGACAATTGTATGGCTCAAGTAATCTTAGCAATACGACAGGTATAGATAATGCTATCCCTATTAATATGACAGGTATGTAGTTAATGCCGTACTCTTAAAACTGCATTAGTCCAGGTACAATCCGTCGGCCAACAAAGTCAACCAGAACACAACCCACCTGGCTCTAAATTCCATACAGGGACACAAGCGTAGCTTTCTATTGGCCGTTATTAGTCTGTTATCATTCCCACTGATATGGTCTATGTATGCACTCTTTCTGTCCTGTTCCAGTACCATCATCTCTGACCGTTGTTTCCTCATAATTAATCCAGCTACTGGATCTCTTTTACGCCAATATTTTATTAACATCATGTTCATATAGAGCTGGGAGAGTATTGGGTTTAAGCCCTTTTCCACAACTGCAAGCCATGCTCTTAATCCCTCTTTATCAGCTGGTTGTTTTCTCTAAACTCAATTCTCTGGAACAGGATTAGGTTCTTACTGTCCTTGACTAACTCTGCATTTGTTCGAAACATAGTTATGGAGTTTTCATACAAATAGTTTTGCACATCACCCCTTGTTATCAATAGTCTTTTTCAATTTTTATAAAAATTTCCTTTCTCTCTTCTGAACGCCTCCTTGGTTCTGCGATTTATCTCTCATCTCTTCTCTTCTCTTGTTTTCTGCGTATCTTTTGATCTTGATTTCTTTTTTCTGAAATTGTTTCAGCTAATATTTTTTGTTCTATCTATATATCTAACATGTTTATCTTCATGTAACATTTAAAGTATGTCATCAGCACTGATATATTTTCTGATTCATCTTCTAACGTTTTTTTTGTAATGTTCAGGATATGACGTCAGATCTGAGACTTTTCCCTCTTTCAATTTTTTGTCTTGGTTTAACATCTCCTTTGTATCTATCTTGAAGTTTTCATGATTAAATTTCTTCTTACTTATATCTATGTGATAATCTGATTCTCATACATAACTCATCGTTTCAGTGTACCTTTCTTTAGATTGAACATGTAAGATTTCCAGATCATGTCAGAATTTTCAAGCATTGCCAGGCAGAGAAAATGTTTTAATCCTAATAGTACCAAAGGTGTAGATTACACCTTTGGTAACTAACACTAATCCTAGTAATACCACAGATATATGTAGACTAAACTAATCTTAATAATACCACAGGTATAGATTAAACTAATCCTAATAATACTGCAGGTATAGATTAAACTAATCCTAATAATGTAACAATGGGTGATTTTGTTGATCTTTTACGATCAGCGATTCAAGGATCTTTTTAGATCGCTCAGACCATAGCTCCCCCCCCCTTTATACCGTTCGGTTGGACTTTTGAATCCTATTTTGAATTCTAACGGATTTATTTGAGTTTGCATGTGAATTCTATAAATAACCCAAGCCAAGCTGAAAGTTCCGTTATTCCAGAAGCACGGGGGCTGGGGGGCTAGCCGGCCAACTCCCGGGGAACTAGGGTTAAATGAGAGCCCAGGGTGGAGCGAAATGAAGGGAAAAGAATCAGTTGGTCGTCAGCTCCCTTAAACTGAGGTTCCCTTGAAGATTCCCCATCACTCTGAAACTGCTTCAATTCATAATATTCTATTAGTATAGTATCAATCGTTTTTTTTTTGTATCTTTGTAAATAATAAATTGTAAGAAAAACCGACTCGACGAATATTATATTTACAAGTGTTTGCATCTATTTATTTTCTTTCATATACAATAATAATACTTCAGGTAAAGATTAAACTAATCCTAATAATACTCAGGTAAAGATTAAACTAATCCTAATAATACTGCAGGTATAGATTTAACTAATCCTAATATTACCAAAGAAATAGATTAAACTAATCCTAATAATACTGCAGGTAAAGCTTAAACTAATCCTAATATTACCACAGGTATAGATTTAACTAATCATAATAATACTCCAGGTAAAGATTAAAGTAATCCTAATAATTCTGCAGGTACAGATTTAACTAATCCTAATAATACTCCAGGTAAAGATTAAAGTAATTCTAATAATTCTGCAGGTACAGATTAAACTAAACCTAATATTACCACAAGTTTAGATTAAACTAATCCTAATAATACCACAGGTATAGATTAAACTAATCCTAATAATACCAGAGGTATAGATTAAACTAATCCTAATAATACCACAGGTAAAGATTAAACTAATCCTAATAATACCACAAACACAAAATATAAAATAATAATTTGTTGAAATAGACTTTTCATATTGAAATATCAACTGAATATACATTGATTGTGGATTTATAAGTAGATACTAAGTCAGCACTCAAATAAATTTTCAGGAATGCATTAATTAAACTTATAATATTGATTCAACAAAAGTAGCTTTGTATTCTTGTTGTCTGTAGTAGACTTTGACATCCACCATTAGCAAAGGGTGTGAACCCATCCTTGTTGTCTGTAGTAGACTTTGACATCCACCATTAGCAAAGGGTGTGAACCCATTCTTGTTGACAGTATAAAGGTTATTTAAGGGTTGTGGCCCTAGTCCTGAATATATTTTGCAAGAATTTTGCATGATTTCTCTCAGAAAGAGAGGAGGTGTTAACACCTCAACTGCTTTCTACTAATATACCACAAGTATAGATTAAACTAATAATAACAAAGATATAGATTAAACTAATTCTAATAATACCACAGCTAAAGATTAAACTGATAATACCACATAAATAGTTTAAACTAATAGTACCGCAAGGTTAGATTTAATTAATCTTGTATATAAAGTGGTAGGCGATTATAGCAATTTAATTTTTATTTAAGTTTTAATTGTTAGCAAGTTTTTAAGAATTAAAGGTTTACAAGTAAATAAAGAAAATATTTGTTAATTGACAGCTTCTCTTTGTTTCCATGTTTTTGTGTATCCATACTGTTTAAAAACTTTAGGTGAATTATTTTTGAAATCGAAAGTCGTCTTTATTTTATAAAATCGCCTACCACCATTGTAAAACTCTACGCTCATAAATATATGTTATATATGTTATATATGTTATATCGAGGAAATCTATGGGTATCCTGGGGTAAATAAAGTCTAGTAAATACAATTTTTTTTCAAGTTTTCTTTCAATTGTTTTCTTCATATTTTTAAACATTTTTTTTTAATTCCACGGGCAACGCCGGGCACTTCAGCTGTTTTATTTCTAGTGTTCAGATGTGAATGATTTTGCTGAGGGCAACTGTTCTGCTCACATTATTCTACCAGGAAAGGTTAGGACAAACAAATTAATTTGCTATTTTCAAAAAAAGAGATTTCATCTATGTATTAAAACAAGACATTCATATGATTAAAAGATGTTGCCTATAGCCAGACAAACAGCTGGACCAATTAGGTTGAATTTTATTGTGGACACTCATGGGTAGACCGGGGGTGTCTTAGTCAGAGGCTAAAAAATATTCGAACTTTTTTCCAAACATTTTCACGTGCAACGTCTGGCTCTTCAGCTAGTTTATAATATTAATATAAAAAATTGACTGATGCATATTTAATCAAATTGTTATTATTTCTTTAAAAAATCTTAACAAAAGATTTTTTAATATTAAATAAATTGATTGGGTCCATTTTTCTACTCTTAGGATTATCTTAAATTTATTAACATTAATTTAATGTTTTTAACATCAAAAGTTGGTGTAATTTAACCTAATTAATCAGTTTGATTGTTGAAAAGCTAATCATCATATTGATAACAAAAAATCACAAAAAAGTTTTGTTAAACCATATATTTGTTTACTTTGACTTGGAATACTAATTAATAAAGACTTTTTATAACATACGCTTTAAATTGGTCTAACAAAATGCCATCTTTTAAAGATAAAAAAATTTGTTAGACATCTGTGAAAATTATGTATATAAGACTTGTTAAGACGTTTGCACAAATTTGAACTTCCATACAGAATTCAATATTTGTTTTGGATTTTTGTTACCTCTTATAAAATTGGGTTTCTTTGGGTTATGGGGTTCTAGAGGGCCTAAAAGTTTACTTTGTAGAATTTAGGAAAACATAATTTATGAAAACATTAAAATTGTTGATAAAAATAATTACGTTTTGCTTAAAAGGAGATTATCCCAGCTATCCGATGAATAATTAAAACAAGCATCGGAGTTGGAATAAAAAACATAATTTTTAAAATTTGTTAACTGTATTTTAAACGTAAATTGCATGCATTTAAAACCAAGTCTGCCAAGGACATATTAGGGTAAAGGAACTGAGTTTTTCGTTGCAACCTGATGTTGTAACTTGTAACCCTGAGTTATTTCAAACTATAAATTAAGTTTTATTTAATATATTAAAGGTTTACACCATCAGGTTGCCAAGATATTGGGACTAGAAAATTTGAGCTTATGAGAAAATATTTCCGAAGATCTAAACTGAATAAATATGTTGAAAGACGAGGCCATGGCAAAAGAAGGTGCCGCACAAACGGAAAAAGAAGATCTTACATCATCGAAAACGAAAAGTACAAACATAACATATACAGAGTTACCTGCAAAAGATGAGACTTCAGAGACGACTGTACGAGATTTATATTGTCTGTTTCCTTATATTCACGACTGTAAACTTAATTCGTAATTCAACTTAATAAAGCCATCCATGGAAGACTATATTCAAGGAATATTATGTGAGGTTAAGATCGTCTTTACAGTCTCATCCTTTTGTGGCTTTTTCTCTATGCATTTCCTCATCGTTATAAAAATGGAAAGTTCAACAAAATATGCTCTGTTGGACAAAATCATTACTTTCTTTCAAACTCGATCAATCAAATCATCGAATACTCTCAGATTGTTTTTATATTTTATAAAAAAAGTAGAAACGAAAACAACTGTTTAACTAGACAGTGATAGCCTGAGTCCATAACTACTTTCTTTATAGTCACATGACCGCAGGGAAGGTTTATAGCCCGTCTAGGATAAAATTTTGACCAAAAAAATGTCGACATTTACCTATTTTGAAAATTCACAAATCTAAACTAAGAAGCATTAAAAATAATTAATTTCAAAGCGCAACAAGTAAGAGCTAAACTTATTAATAGGAAGGGTGATGTAAAGTGTCCTAAAATCCTGATATTATATATATCATGATTTGCTTTAGATTCTAATATGGCAAGTTTACCTATAGTTCACGTAGTTTTAACAGTGTTTAAGTGTTCAACTAACTCACGCAATTTGTACAGTGTAAAAGTGTTGATGAAGTACTTCGTGGAGAGTGTCCAACAGAGCTAATACCAAACTTAAAGGAGGTAAATCAAATGAAGATTATTTACTAAATCCCAAATTCTATATTTATATTTTTTCCCTGAAAACTTACAGTAAAAACCTATAAATAAGCCATACATCGAAAGAATTCATCAAATGTCGTATTATTCACTTTCTTGATAATTGTTGCAGTTATTTAGTTTTTAATGAAATGATTATATGGAGCTCTTTAAAACTGTTCCTGCATATTCATGGCTATTTATTTATTTTCGCAAATCATGAAATTTACGTAAAATTTTACGTATTGCTCATTTAGGGTTTAACTGCATTTAAACCATGGAGTTGGAAAACAAATTAAATTTTATCTTCAGTCAAATGACCAAAATAAGTATTTTTAATAATTGATTTACTGACTCCATAAAAAGAAGATTTTTATATTGAATTTTGAAACTAATATTCCATTGTTAGTTTTGATTAATTTTTCAAGGGAATTGATATTTAGTGATAGATCTTTAAAGGGACTGTAAGAGTAATTTCAAGGAGTATTCACGATTAACAACGGTACCCTTTAAACCTTTGACTGAACAAGAATGTCAAACATCAATCTACTTAAACCCTTTTATTTGTTTTTGGCACACTGTTATATTTAAAAAATATATCAATTGTTTACTTTATAGAAGTAGCAGAAAATAAAGATTTACTTTCGAAAGTTAAAAGTTTCTAAGTTCTAACGCAAAAATACAATATTTTCAAGGGGCGCTATAGTAGCGGGTCAGCTGTGTTAAGTTCACACTGTATACAGCGTACACTGGGTATCAGAACGATTAAACAGCTACTTAACAGATTTACACATATCTCTCTACTCGCCTACAGTTAAAGGTTTACGGGGTACCTTGTAAATTGGGCATTGCCCATAATGGCATGGAGGTTCACGTGAAATTATGCTTACAGGCCCTTTGAAGTTTAAAGGCTTAATTTATTTTTGATTATATATATATATATATATATATATATATATATATATATATAAAAAATATAATAAATACAGGAATTATACTAGATATATATATTATAGGGTGAAAGATTTTTCACAAAATTGAGAGGAATCAATTTCTAATAATAAATACTAATGTATTTTTTAATTCTAAGAAACATTTACAAAGGGCATTTTTCGCTAAAATCAAAATTGACCATCGCAAATGGCCTTTTGTGATAAAAAACGCTAATTATAAGAATATTTTTTAAGCCCTATTCAACGGAAAAAAACCGTTTTACAAAATAATGAAAAATAGCCAAGGTGGAGCTGAAAAACTAGGGAAAACAGCTAATTTTTTTATTTCCCAATTTTTTCCACTTAAATGCTTCTAGATCGGATGTTTTTAATATTTTTACAAACCGTTTGCGGCGTTAGGCTTTGCAAGACGGATCTTTTGATACCCATATTGACATATTTTGATAAAAATAAAAAATCCCTTGTAATCGTGTTTTTGGCGACAAATAGCTATTTGAGATTGCCTGTTTTGATTTTATCGAAAATGCTTTTAGTAAATGCGTCTAAAAATTTAAAAAAGCACAGTAGTATTAACTACTTGATTTGGTCAGGTTATGAAATTATTGCACCGGTGTAAAAGATAAATACAGGGTGTCCCACGAAACATGACAGTTGGTGAATAGTTTTGAATGCCTTCTTTCACATACTGTATTAGATATTAAAGACTTTTTGCAATTTATTTCTTTAAAAAAATGTTTAACTCATATATATATTTGACTGTGTAATCAATTTTAATATGGTATAACTGTCATATAAAAAATGTTATTAGTCTCTTTAGTATCAAACAACTTATCAAATTATGGAAGAAGTAATTTTAAACTATGATCACCCTGTAGGACTGTAAAAGTATATAATTAATTTAGTGCAATAGTGTTAAAGATTTTGCAAAAGAAAATTGTAGAGCTGAGCTAATTCTAGATCATAAGGTAATAATGTAAATAAAAGTACAAAAAACTTATCATCAAATTCTTCTTTTAAATTTTTTTCCGTGATATTTCAGAATAAAAATCACATAATGATTATTTTAAAGGAAAAATGAAAGGGGCTATAGGATGAAACCTGAGAATCTCGAGCGTTAAACGATTTTAAAAAAATCTAAATTTTTATTTTCCATTTTTAATAGATATAATTGATAATATTATTTCATTTAGCCCATATAGTCCATATCACGTCACCAGAACGTCAGCCAATATCAGTGCAGTATACTGGTCACGTGGTTTCCGCCTGGCTGAAGTTCTGGTGACGTAATACGGACTATTTGGACTATATGTAATAATATTATTAATTATATCTATTAAAAAGCAAAATAAAAGTAAAAAAATTAAAATATGGAACAAACCTCAGATTCTCAGGCTCCTGTGGGATATAATCGTTTTCAGATTGGTTGCGTATTAGCTGAATTTGATCTGTTTAAACCTACTACTTTTATACAAAATTATATATATATGAATTTTCGTATAATTTTGACACAGTTTTTGTGACAGGAACATCAGATATAGATGTCTTATATGTATCCTTCACCGCCTGAGATTCTCAGGTTTCATCCTATACCCCCTTTCATTTTTCCTTTACAATCCCTTTAAGTGAAATGGGTCTGTCTGCACACAATTGCTGTGTCTCATATTAGAGTATTAAAGTCGTCTTCCTATTCCCGAGTGTACTGGTTCTCACTGAATATGATTATAAATTTGATTTAGTGCCAAAGTGTTAATGAATTGATGAAAGAAGAATGCGGAGCACAGATTCTACCTTCGTCAGAGGTAAAATTTAAATCACTTCTTCGACACTAAAATTAAACGAAAGTGATTTATAGTTTCGAATTGTACATGTCTGTGGATACAAAAAAGTTTAAAGATTAATGCAACTTTTCATAACAGCTTGGATTTATTTTCCTTGTTTCTAATACATTTGGCTCGGGAAAATTTTATTTATGAATAAAAATCCGAGCGAGCTGGAACTTTTTTTTAATCAGTTAGTAAATGATTAGATACATTAGTGGAACTAAGAAGCTCTTTGCATATAGATATTTAATGCATAAACCTTTTATAACTAATATTCGTTAATTGCTTTAACTGATATGGGAAAAGGGTCTGGGTGTTTGTTTTTTTGTTTACGAGAATTGCACTTCTATATTTTGATGTTTCTGGATGGCGTCGTATATTGCATGAAATAGCCAACCTTTGAATTTTGGTGGATTTTTTTAGTTTTGGCAAACTGTTAACACCGTTAATACTACACGCAACCTTTTACAGCTTGCGCCATTAAAGATTTGACAAACCGTTAAAAATTAAAAAAACCGTTAACGGCTGGCCGGAGGGAGGGAAAGCAACCTTCCCCACACAGCTCCCGAAAATCAGTGCACGTCCCCAAACAGTCTTCCATTAAAAATCTTTAATTTCTACTTAAAACGGGACTAATTCGATTATTTGAGCGCGGTAATCCATCTATAGTAACCTTAACATTTGCATAAAATTTATTTGTCAATCAAAGATAAGAGAGAAAATAGCTATTATTTATAAATTTATTTTCTCAACAAATCTTGGAATGGCTGCCGCCTTTTTATGATTAGTTTTTACTAATAAGAAGAAAAAAAATATATTCTTCATAAAATGTTGATTCTAAAAAACACTGCCCTTATTAAATTTTCTTTCCAGTTATTGATTTATTAAAGAAAACAAAACTCTGTTATAACCTAATGATTTTAAATTGTCGCTTTTTTTTTTATAAACGCTACCGTATACATATAGATCGAAAGATTATCACATTTTTTTCAACAAGAGCGTTGCTCAAATTGCCTTTTATTATAATTTCATGCATTATTTTGCAGGTAAAATTAATTAATATAAAAACTTTGGTTTTTCGTCTGCAAACAGGTAGAAGGTGCAAGGTAACCATGATCAGTGCCGCGGCAGAAGAACGTACCTATAACCGCAGACGCAAATTCATACAACTGAGAGTGGAAGGATGAACTGAACCGGGATATGAAACTTTTTCCAGTCCAAACTTTTATTGTGAAAAAGAAATAAAAATATTCTGATGTTAAGGATACAATAGATGGACTACCGTGCTTAAATAATCGAATTAGTCCCGTTTTAAGTAGAAATTGACGAATACAAACATAAAATCATTCCCGGAAGACTGTTTGTGGGAGGTTTGGAAGTCCTATAGGGACGCGCACTGCCTAAAATAGATAAAACGTGGTTCGGAAGCTGTGCAGGGGAGGTTGCCTTCCCTTCCTCTTTGGGGCCGTTGACATTTGTTGAAATATCTTCTGTAACGCCATTAATAAAATTGAGAAAAAAAAATTGGAAATAAAAACTTTGGTAAAAAAGGTCCCAATTTTATGAAGTCCATGGACAAAATGTCAGTGGAAATAAAGGCCTGTGTTATAGATTCCTGGGTCTTTTTTCTAAAATAATATGGGGGCTGCCAAAAAAGTCTCAGGAAATAAGATCGCAGAAATTAAATTCATGAAATAAACCAAGAAAAAAAGTCTTGGGAAAATAAGGTCAAGTCTGAAACGCTTACATAAAAATTACTTTTGTCCTATGCAGCTGCATATTGAATATAGCCAGGGGTGTTTTATATAACAAGCCTCTTTTTTCCATAATTGTAAACATTAGGGTTTCCAACTTAATAGATTATTCACTTACGCAAAATTACGTGCAGTTACGCGAAATAATTTTCATTTCGTGTAATTTCGCAGGATTTCGCGTAATTGGCGAAAGTTCAATTTCGCGAAATTTTTTAATAATTATGCGTAATTAGCTAAATTTCGATTTCGCAAATTACGCAATAATTTCGCGTAATTTCTACAAAAGTAATTTCGCGAAATGTTGCAATAATTACGCCTAATTAGCGAAACCTCCATACAAACCAGCCTACAGGAGAACATTTTAACCTTCCTGGACATGAACTCCACCATCTAAAAGTTAGCGTTCTAGAGAAGGTTTGGGACCTTGTGAGAAATTTACTTAAAGTACGAGAATCTAAATACATCAGAGGTTTTATGACTGATCTCACAGGAATAACCAGAAAAAAATAGTTTTTATTTAAATGCAAAACTGTAATTAAGTATTTTTAAGAGAAAAAAGAGTATTTTTTATTTCCGATTCTATAAACCGGTTTTAATACCCCTCTTTAGACAAGCCGCCCCCCCCCTCCCTAAATGTTTTTTAATTATATCGACCCCCAGGCCCCACCACCACTTTAAGCAGTTTACATAAAAACTAGTTTGTGTTTAATCTTCATTCGACAGAAACAATCTCAATATTTTAAAAAAGTAAATATCTGCAAACTATATTTTTTCCATCTCATCATCCGAATTCGTTTCCCTTTTGTACATTTGACAGCCCATATAATTCTTTTTAAATAATCTTTTTTGTTTGTTTATTTTCTTGTGGTTTTTAACATCGATTTTAAAGGTTATTGTAACGTTAGAACTGACAAGGGTCAACCTAGACCGAAATATATTTTCAACAAAATGTGGAACTAAAATCTACTTTGTTTCTCTACAGAGGTTTGATCCATCACCATAAACGAATTTTAATTCAATATGAAAGTATTTAATTTATCCAATCAGATTGGACATGGTTGTATCGCACATATCCTTAGACATATTTTCCCGCTATATTCATTTCTAAGAATTTATATGTACTTTACTAATTACAGAATGGTTTCGTATTACGTAATTTCGCGTAATTACGCCCTAATTACGGGAAACTAGGCTTGTTTTCGTATACATAATTAGCACGTAATTTCGCGTAAGGCTCCTCCGTAAGTGAAAGAAAGTGTTACGCGTAATTACGCGTAGTTACGCGTAACGTAATTACGACTGGAAACACATCTTTTGTTCCCATGCATTCCACTAAAAGAGGAGCTTTCCGGGGACTTTTTTGAGTAAGATCATACTGGAACCAGAAACTAATCCAAAAAATAAAGTCTCAAAATGGTAGGAATATTTTAAATGGACTTTTTATTTCAAGAACTTTTATCAACAGGACTTTTCAGCGCCAAAATGTGGGACTTAATTTTCGAAAAAAAATTTCAAAGAACTTTTTTAACGGTTTCCGTGGCGTAAACCTAGTTGTTTTTAGTGCACAAGTGTTGACCAATTTGCGAATGGAAATTGTTTAGCAGAACTTTTATCTGATGAACCGGAATCACTAGAACAGGTAGCAAATTTAAATGTAAAATCAACACTTATCGTATTACAATTATAAGTGCTTCTCTTCATGGAAAGGTGACAATGCCCGATGCTCAACAGCACCCTTTATAATTTCAATAATTTTTTTTTCTATGTTTAAAAGTGTTTATTCTAATCTTGTAAGTTTTCTTCCGGTAGAAATGTGGAAGTCACTTTTAAATATTGTAACCACAATTGAAAATATTCAGTTTATAAAACTTTAAACATTGATATCTTTTTCATACTTGATCAATCACAGCTTTAAAGGGTACCGTTGTAAATCTGGCATTGCCTAAAAATTCCTAAAATACAAAAGTCAACGCATACAAAACATGTTCAAGTTTCTTCTACATTTTAAACCATGATACTTAATAATAGGAATCAAGTCCTTGCCACAAACTCAAATTTCCTAACCTTTTTGTCTTTGCAACCTAATAGTGTAAACCTTTGACTTTCAATATTAAATTATTTAATCTTCGAAGAAATCATAATTTGAAATAACTAAGGTCTAGAACATTGGGTTGCAAAGATATATATTCTGATGCTACTAATCAGTTGTATTTTTAGTGCCAAAATATTGACGATATGATGACTGGAAATTGTATGGTAGAGATTATACCTATAAAATCAAAACGCCAGGTAAAAATAAATAGATAGCATAGATTAAATATACATAGTTATGCAAGCAGGTAGAAACCTCCTGCCTAAATCACTTTAGTATGCCGAGTCATTAGCGCCTGATCCAATCAGGGTTCAGCCATGTGTTTGTTGTCTATTCTGAATCAATAGAAATAGTATGGCGGTAACGTCTATCTTTCTATCTATCTTATTAATGATTATCCAATCAGAGTTATGAATCCTTAAATCAGCGCTATCAATAAATGGAAATATTTACTTTTACTGAAACTCTATAGTGAAATAGCTCAAATTTGTCCCTCTCTTACAGGGAGAAAGAAGAGACATCTATAGCACATTATTTACTTTCTATATTCTTTTCTCCCCCTGCAGCCATCTGTAGGAAATACGCATTTTGCTCGTACAATTGCTGTACTTCTAGTGTTGCTATAATATCAATACAATAAAGACAACTTTCGATTTTAATTTTGATTTGAAACAAGCTGTTAAACAGCATGGATACACAAAAAGATAGAAGTAAAGAGAAGCTTTTAATTAAAAAAGCTTCTCTTTGACTATTTGTAAACTTGCAATTCGTAAAAAGCTTTTGTTAATATTCAAAACTTAAATTAAAAAGTCGTCTTCATTGCATTGTTAGGTAGGTGCTAAAGTATTTTTTATGTATGAAGAATTCATTATTAACGATAATCACAATTGTTGTTTATAAATAACCAAAAAAATTGAATATTTAAAAAAATATCCAGCAAAGAAATTTTTATCAAAAGAAAAAAATTTGCAGTACAGTTTATAACTTTGTCACTTTTCTGCATTTGCTTTCTTTTTAATGAGTAGAGAGATTTATTAAAGGCTAGCATGATATTTTCTACATCAAGTCCCATTGTGTACAACAGGAGTGTTTTTTCTTTAAAATTGTAAAACTTAACCCCTGATTGGGTTTTACATGCAACAAGTGGCGGTTAGATGGCAGTCAAAAACCTTTTGTAAGAATAACCCATGTCGTGCCGGTACGACTAAAGGCCTACTTATCCCAGCCCGTGAAAGCAGATTAGCAGTCTGCATATATCTAGTCTGTGATTACACATTTGGTGCAGTCATCGCGCATAAAAAAAGTGAAAATAATCAATATTCACAGAGGACAAATTACCATCACTCTTGTATGTCAAGTCCATTAGTGCCTGATCCGATCAGGGTTCAGCCATGTGTTTGGTGTCTATTCTGAACCAATAGCAATTGCATGGCGGTAACATCTATCTTTCTATCTAGCTCATTATCCAATTAGAGATAAATTCTTATATCGGCGCTAACAGTAAATGGAAATATTTACTTCTACTGAAACTATAGTGATGCGTAGAACAGAGATGGTATTTTGAATCAACCAAATACAAGACCTCACAACTTCTACCTGCACCCATATGTATATTGCATATTTAATCTTTGATCAATACTGGGCCTTACATGTTAATGCATTGCTCTATTTACAACAACAAAATATAAAAAAAAATTAAATAAGAGCAGACAAACACACTGTAAAATGCAAAATCTAATAACAATTTCTGAAATGTAAATGGAATATTTAAGTAATATCAATTAAAACAATTTAAACATTTTTTAATTATATCTTTTGATAATTGTGGGTGCCAGGCGCCACTTATACAATGTCAATTCACAACGGTACCATTAACAGCTTTAACTGACTAAGTATGAATAAGAAATTCATGTGAATTAGTTTAAAAACTGATTATTTTAAAGTGTGGTTTATATAAAAATCTGTAAAAATAATGCAGGATATATCAGACAGTTATCTTTTACATTATAATGATCAGATAAAGGTTTCAAGGGCACCGTTGTGAATCGCTTTAGATGGAGATCTCTTAAAATTACGACTACAGTTTCTTTTCAATTGATTAGTGCAACAATACAGCGCAGTTTGCGAATGGAGCCTGCTCTGCCCAACTTATACCTGCTGTAATGGTAATATTTATACATTGTTCTATACTTAGCTTATACCTGCTCCAGCACAAAAGGTAGAACGATCAAAAGGTAGAATTACAAAAGGTAGAACGATCATAAGATAGAACGACAAAAGGTAGAACGATCAAAAGGTAGAACAAACAAAACGTAGAATGTTCAAAAGGTAGAATTACAAAAGGTAGAACGTACAAAAGGTAGAATTTTCCAAATTAAAATTATTTAAAATGTCAAAAAAAAAGTCAAAAAATAATGTTTCTTATTTGTTAGGAATAATTTTTATTTTACAAATGTACATGATTTTCATCCATGCCAATAATTTTGGCAAGCTGTTTCATATAGTCTGGTGCAGGGATATTAATATACATTTCAGTCATGTTTTTAATGCTAGTACGTTTATCTCTCTGTTTTTGTTTGTGAGCGTTCTCAGTGCTGTTTGCACCATCGGCTGAACTCTGTTCCATTCTTAATTTTCTCAAAATTATATTCATATTTCTGGTCGTCAATCAATGTTCTTTTCTTCTTTTGATTCACCCCATAGTTGACCAACCTCTCCATGCTGAATTCAACCGAGAAATGCAGTTTTGTGATATTTTTTTAAAAATTCGCAGATTTTCTTGTAAAAATTAGAACATTTTCTTCCTTCTCAAAAATAAAAAAATTCTACCTTTTGAACGTTCTACCTTTTGTAATTCTACCTTTTGAACGTTCTACCTTTTGTTTATTCTACCTTTTGATCGTTCTACTTTTTTATTGTTCTACCTTTTGTCATTCTACATTTTGTCATTCTACCTTTTGTAATTCTACCTTTTGTAATTCTACCTTTTGTACGTGAGCTTACTTAGCTTATACCTGCTGTAATGGTAATATTTATATTACGTTCTATACTTAGCTTATACCTGCTGTAATGGTAATAATTATATAATGTTCTATACTTAGCTTATACCTGCTGTAATGGTAATATTTATAAAATGTTCTATACTTAGCTTATACCTGCTGTAATGGTAAACAGGCGGATGACACGTACTGATGTTGTCACAACAAGCACTATTAGAGCACTATTTGATGTTTATACAATGCAAATAGTTTTATTACATTAGCTTAAAACTCACTGATTTTAAGTGAAATGTTTTGGGCCCAATTGTTTTTTCTCACGTTTAGTGTTTAAAATCAAAATTTTATTCAAACAGTCGTATTCATACTATACAGTTTACTGGTCATCACTGTATTTTATATTCCAAAAATAATTGACAACATTAATATATATTTAGTGTGAGAATACAGAAGATTTCGCGAGAGGAACCTGTGCGGGACAGCTCTTACTTGGACAAATTGTAATTCATTTTTCTTCTTTCAAAAAGCTCAGAATTCATATCTCACTTAATTATGCAATTCAAGGGATTATAAAAAACCAGCGGTTGAGTATTGAGACTCAGTTTAGACTCTTTGCAGTTTAAAATAAGAAATAAATAATGATATTTTTATGTGGATTTTATGTGTTAATAATCAATGGAAACTCAAATATTTTACTATTTTTGTTTCAACCGCTGGAATTACTCATTTTTGTAAAACTCTTATGCTTTTATTTTACCTACAAGAATCTCAGGTGTAAATCTTATTTCAAAATTGCATTCTAGTCAAACTTGCTTTTATTACACTAGGAATATCTTTTACTCTGATGTTAACCAAAACGATTTCCGATTCTAAGTTCTGAATACATAAATTTCTGCCTTACTCCTGTGCACTATGCATCCTACCTTAAAATAAAAGACAACAAGAATTTCCTTTCTAAACTTTAAAGAAAACCCCTGCAGATAGATTTTCCATAAAGAAATTGAGTCTTTGCCATACACTCAAATTCTCTAATACCTTTGCAACCTGATGGGGTAAACCTTTGATATTTTAAACTTAGATTGTTTGATTGTTTTGAAATATTTATGGTATACGACATTGGGTTGTAAAGATATGGGGATTAGAATATCTGAGTTTGTGGCAAAAACTTAATTTCTTTGTATTGGGGAATTCGGTAAAACCACAGAAAGTACTGGTTTAAAACTTTAACACTTTCAAGGTTGCGTGCTTTTAAGGTAATTATTATCAAAAATATAGATATTTTTAGTTCAAAAGGATTCGACAATTCTAAAGAACTTTATTTTTTAGTGTGAGAGCTTAACGGAAATGTCGCTTGGAAACTGTTCTACCGAGTTATTGTTGGCAAACAAGGTGATCATTTATACATACAATACAGGGTTAACCTTTAATACATACAATACAGGGTTAACCATTTATACATACAATACAGGGTTAACCATTAATACATACAATACAGGGTTAACCATTTATACATACAATACAGGGTTAACCATTGATACATACAATACAGGGTTAACCATTTTATTAATACATACAATGCAGGGTTAACAATTAATACATAAAATACAGGGTTAACCATTATATTAATACATACAATACAGGGTTAAGCATTAATACATACAATACAGGGTTAACCATTAATACATAAAATACAGGGTTAACCATTAATACATACAATACAAGGGTTAACCATTAATACATACAATACAAGGGTTAACCATTAATACATACAATACAAGGGTTAACCATTAATACATACAATACAGGGTTAACCATTAAAGATAAGACTTTAATGTCGACATGAAACTCTCTTATTCCTAAGTTTAAAGGTTGAACTTGGTTCATACGATCTCAAATTAAGTCTTATTCTTGTAAAGGAAATTATTTTGCAAAGAAAGAAAATATTCAGTTTAAAGTTCCATAATAAACCAGAACAAATGGAGAAACTTGTGAAACTCTGAGAAGTCTCCTCCATTGTGACCGTGGGTTGAAACATTCTGATTAGCTTAAGCACGTTTTACTAAGGCCTTCGTATATTTTATTGTTAACTACAGTTTACCCTGGACGACCTGAACACTCCGTTAAACACTTATTTTTTTAGTGTCGCGATATTTCTGAGTTTAGTTTAGGAGAGTGTGCTGCTGAAACAATACCAGGCTATCAGGTGATAAAAAGATTTAAATATTACATGTTATGCAGACCTCGGGATAGGGTTTATCTCCTTGTTATGCAGACCTCGGGATAGGGTTTATCTCCCTGTTATGCAGACCTCGGGATAGGGTTTATCTCCCTGTTATGCAGACCTCGGGATAGGGTTTATCTCCCTGTTATGCAGACCTCGGGATAGGGTTTGTCTCCTTGTTATGCAGACCTCGGGATAGGGTTTATCTCCTTGTTATGCAGACCTGCAAAACATGGAGATAAACCCTATCCCGAGGTCTGCATAACATAGAGATATAACCTATCCACGGGCAACGCCGGGCACTTTAGCTAGTATAAAATATAGAATACGATGTAACTCTTAATTTCAAGACCTACATGTCCGATTAACATCGGTATCTTTAAATCTTTGTCTGATTAAAATGAGGGATACATCTGGCCTTGATTTTCTAAAAAGCAAATAGTGGATTTATTTAGGAGAAAAAAAGGAATTGACATAATTTTTTTTTTTATTGGATTGAAAAAAACGATAGCTTCTTAATTTTTATCAAAATAAGGATAAGGTTGTGAATGTTGAATGAAACTCTTAAATAGAGGACCTTAAAATATGAACACCTCCGTTTAAATTTTTTAAATACCTTTTAGGGAACATGTGATGACTTTACAATGCTCGATGAAAGGGAAAGTTGCACGGCTTCCATCATAGCAGTTGATAAGGTGTTTTTCTATTCAATATTTAAAAGTAGGAAAACGACTGTTACTCTCAACTTCTCAAGTTATATTTCAAATAGTCTAATTAACATTGAATTAAAAAACAGCGATTTTGTGAATAATACCCATTTTACTTAACAAATTAATTTTAAAGCTATTGTTAAAACTTCATGCTATATAACAACTTCAAAGGTTTTGGTCACAAACTCTAATCTTCTAATCCCTTTATCTTTATCTTTATCTTTATCTTTATTTAAAAGGTCTCCTACGTTGGGTTGCAAAGTAATAGAGATTAGAGAATCAAATTTAGTGACAAAAAGTCAGTTTCTTCTTCTATATGTAAATTTGGCTTATCTGTCTGTTTGTCTGTTTGTTTGTATCCAATAAACGTCAAAACGGCTGAACCGATCGGGCCCAAATTTTTTGTGGGACCTCACGTGACCCCAGGGAAGGTTTATGAATGATCAAAATTTTAAAAAATTGTGTTTAAAAGTTTTTTATTTTTGAAAAATTTTGAAAGTGCGCAAAAAAATATTATGAAATCCGCAAACTTTTTTGCTTTTGTTTTATACTGTACAAAGAGAAGATGTTCAAAGATAAAGCCACAATTAAAAGTTGAAATCGAAGATGGGCGCGAAGCGCCCTAAAAGCCTAGTTATATAAAATTGTTTAAATGTCGTAAAGCTGTTATAAATATTGTCCAGTACGTGCAAATTGGATTAGAGCATTTCTATCAAAAAAATGCCAATGGCATAGTTTCACCCTTACTCATAATACTTGATTATATAGTTTTAGACAATTGACGAAAAGAATTCATTTGTTAAAGTATTTTGTTCTCAATTAATTTATTTACTTGTTACCATGTGTATTTGACACTTTTGAATTTTCTGAAAGACGAAATAATAGTTAACGACAAAAAGAAAGCTAATAAAGAAACGATCGTTTTCAGAAAGGTTTGATTTACAAAATAAAAGCAAAGGTGTAATTAGTTAAAAATTCTCGTTTCGTTTACGAAAGCAGTTCGTTAACAATCGTTAACCCTCAACAGGCCGGGGGACGGGGTGGTTGGCGCCCGTCTCTGTAGTTTTTTTTTGTCCTAGCACTCTCATTTTTGACGCTATCACAGTAAAATTTTGTGACTTTCAATGAATAGTAATTTAAAGGATTTTTGTTAAAAAATATTTTTTTTGATTTATAGGAAAGGGCAAAGGGCGGAAAAAAGTCCGGTCTGTGAAAAAAATCCAAAAAGCCCATGAATTTTTTGTGTCTAAAGCTACAGATCTAGAAACTATATTTTTGAAAAGCCCTTGAAAAATTCATGTAGAAACATGTGTCACACTTTGATATTTGTTTAAAACAAAATTTTTAAAAACAAATTTTTGACCCTTTTTAGGCATTTTTTTCCACCCTCCCTAGCACACAAACTATTAAAGTTATCGGTCTATTTTTTTTTCTTTGAGCTGGCCATGAAAAATTGGGCTATTATTTATAAACATGCATTTTAACCCTATACCTATTCTCTAAGGCATTTTTCTAAGGGGGGGGGGCGCCAAACGCCACCCCAAGGCTATTCATAGATTCAGACCCCCAGCCTTCATAGGGTTAACGACCCTACCGTCGCGTCGTTAACTATCGATTTTTTCTTCGTTTTTCAAAACAATGCCTAACCTAACCTACCCTACAATAACATATTATTCCTTCATGCTACATTTTTCTTAGAAATGTGTTTGGGGACAACCATGCGAAAAACCAAATCAAGAGGTTTGAAATTTTTATATTTCTGATAAACATTTGGTATATTCATGAATTCTACATTTATTTTCACTTTTTCAATTCCTTTTGTTTAGTTTTTGTTTAAGTTTGTAATTGTGTTAACCTCCTTTTAGACTCCGCAATAACTTGCTGCCGGTCAGAAATATAAAAAATATAAGAAATGTCATTATTCATAGAAAACTTAACAAAATCAGAGAGGTGACATTTCATTAGATAGGACATTGCAAATATCGGGCTTTTTATAGACAGGATAACTCATAGGTAAAGATAGAATATTTTCTAAGGAGGACATTTAATGGACATCTTAAAGATAGTACAATTCATAGATAGAGAAAAATCGTGAAAAAGTGACTGTTTACTGGATAATACTGAAATATATATTTTGATATAAATATGGTTGATGCCAAGATGATGGCTGATGCAGAGATAGTGGCTGATGGCTGATACACTAGCTGATGCAATGATGATGGCTGATGCTACGTTAATGCTGAAGGCTGATGCCAGGATGATGGTCGATGTCGAGATAATGACTGATGCTGAGATGATAACTGATGTTCAGGAAATGGCTGATGCCCAGATAGTGATTGATGTTGAGAAAATGACTGATGTTGAGATGATAAATGATATTCAGATAATGGAAAAAATTGATTTGGTGTCTGGTCCTAAAATGTTGGCTGATCCTAGAATGATGGGTGATCCTAAGCTGATGTGTGATCGTAAGAAGAATGGAGATCCTAAGAAGAATGGAGATCCCAAGAATAATGGAGATCCTAAGAATGATGTAGATCCTAAGAATGATGGAAGAAGAATGTACGTCCAAAGAATAATGGAGATCCTAAGAATAATGGAGATCCTAAGAATAATGGAGATCCTATGAATAATGGAGATCCTAAGGATAATGGAGATCCTAAGAATAATGGAGATCCTAAGGATAATGGAGATCCTAAGCATAATGGAGATCCTTAGGTGGGTTGTGATCCTGAGGGGAGTTGTGTTCCTGAGATAAGTTGTGTTCCTGAGATAAGTTGTGATCCTGAGTGGAGTTGTGTTCCTGAGATAAGTTGTGTTCCTGAGATAAGTTGTAATCCTGAGAGGAGTTGTATTCCTGAGATTGCTCCTGAGAGAAGTTGTGTTCCTGAGATAAGTTGTGTTCCTGAGATAAGTTGTGTTCCTGAGATAAGATGTGCTCCTGAGAGGAGTTGTGTTCCTGAGATAAGATGTGTCCCTGAGATAAGATGTGCTGCTGAGAGGAGTTGTGTTCCTGAGAAGAGTTGTGATCCTGAGAGGAGTTGTGTTCCTGAGATAAGTTGTGATCCTGAGAGGAGTTGTGTTCCTGAGATAAGTTGTGATCCTGAGAGGAGTTGTGTTCCTTAGATTAGTTTTGCTCCTGAGAGAAGTTGTGTTCCTGAGAGGAGTTGTGCTCCTGAGATGAGTTTTGATCCTAAGTTGATGGGCGATCCTTGTTTAATGAGTGATCCCTGTTTGCTTCCAAACCCTGTTATAGATGAGTTCTGATGATACTGAGGAAATGACAATTCCTTTTAAAATTCGGTGATGGTGATAGACCAAACCTCTGTAGAGTAAAAAAGTAGATGTTAGTTCCACATTTATTGAAAATATTTTTCGGTCTGGGTTGACCCTCGTCAGTTCTTGAGATTATTCCTTTCTTGTATACAGTGGGATGCATTGTTTTCTCGCATATCTAATACTATTGAAGGTTATGGAGTCAAGAGATGGATCCTGGTTTTACTAAACTATGGGACAGAAACCGCAACACTCGTCGTTGCTGGTATAAAACTTTTATAAACAATGACAACCTACTAAACTTGTGTCATGATAAATGGTTGAGATTACCAATCATGTCCGATTAGTTTTTTGTGTTTAATGATGGGAACAAAAGATTCAATAACATGAAGATGGGGAGGGGTTTGAAAGTAGAAAACACGAAGGTCTCCGTATTCATCTCTGTAAAAGATAATGGAGTTGAGCTAATTTTTGGGTTTTATTTTAAACAAAAAGGACGTTTGAATGGTATCTCTCATATAGCCAGTAGACACAAGTTTTATTGTACATAAAGCACAACCGTATCATATTTTAGTACCCTGAAGACTAAGGACTGGGTCAAGAATGAGAAGGATGAGTAAGTGCTTGAGAAGATGTCTGTTCAACCCGATGGTTTTGAAGTTACTCCGATGCCTCTTCGTGTCTGTAGGACTTGGAGTCTGGAGAGATGTTCGGGAAGTGCAGGGGTTCTATTCGTTAATCTCTGGAACCAGGGCTGTACTGGAAAATAGGTGTGTGGATCTGACTTCTCCAGCCGTCCTGGCAAGGACCATAGGAAAAAGATCAAGATGTTTAACCAGGAGAAGCCTGTTGTTCCTCCTGTGGCTGCTCCTTGTCCTTGAACCTCTCTCTAGTACTAGTTCTGTGGTGAGCAGGGAGCACGAGAGATCCTGGAGGAGGACTGCATGACATGACATGATGAGCTGATAGAGGGTCCTGTGGCTGCTCCCTTCCCAGAGGAGCTGAATTTCAGGTTCGAGATTCCTGGAAGCTTTCCTAGTGATGTTAAGCCTGTTAAGGGTGCAGCTCTAATAGTGATTTTAAGCCTGTTGATGGTTTAAGGAGAACTCTTGATGAGTCTTCTGATATTAAGTGATTTTCTCTGGTAAACTTTGAACATTTATTTGTCATGATCTTGAACCCTGTTTATTAAGAGACAGCAACTTTTGAGCTGCTCTAATATGATATTTTAGCTCATACAATCTGATATTGGAGTACTACAAGGAGATAAAGCTGATCTTCGCCGTGCCCTTGGGCGACAGAATCATCATGTTCTCGATTCCCTCGCCCACCAGCTCTTCACACAAAAGATGTGAAACCCCTGGGGTCTGGGGGGGGGGGGGTGACAAGTCTGTAGTGCAGCAACACAACTAGTTTTGATTTGTAAACTTTACCGTAGATCCGTGTCCGCCATTTATTGTCAGTTACACTTGATATTTTAATACAGAAGTATTATTGTTGTGATCTGGTTATGGTACATTAAGATATTAGGCATTACTACATTCTTTTATCTGAGAAATGAGCTTTTATCCTTATATTTGTTTGAATTAAATTTAAATTCAACCATGTTAGAGTTTATTGCATTTTTCGAGCTAGTAAAGATTTTTTATTTACACATACTAATTTTGTATATATTTTCTTCTCTGCAAAATTTATTTTTACAGTTATAAATAAACAAATCTGGCAATCTTTTATAGATTGAACCCGTAGCTGGCACTATTCAGAGCACTGCACAGTTGTCTTTAGGGAGAGAGCTTAAAAGAGATCTGAGATTTAGTCCTGGTTCCAATCAAACTCCATAGTGCAGATCATGACTTGCTTGAAACTTTATGATAATTTGACCCCCCCCCCTGTAGTTTTTTTTACATAACTCCAAAAGTATTGGTCTGAGGCTGTTGAAATTTTCTAACTTTTCTTACATACCCAAAGCCCTCCCCTTAGGCCTAAAACCGGGCTTTAATACTAACTGCCTGAGTCCTCAGGCACACTGCCTGAATGACTGCTTTTGCCTGTAACAAACTAAATCTTTGTTTTGACCCACTTTCACTTGTCAGATTTTGATAAAATTTAGCTTTTTGGAAAGCCTATGACATAAAGAAACGGATTGCACAAATTTTGCGAGAAAAAATGCAAATTTTTTGAAGACAACCTGTCAAAGGAAATTTGCACATTTTTAGTTTTTCTTGATTAAAAATCAGGTTATTAAAATTTTGCAAAAATTTTTGCATATTTGAAATGGCATGGTCAAGAGCTTTTCAAAAATGTATAATTTTTCATTTTTTGGACAAATTTTTTTTTGCAAACATTTTTACTATATAACTGGATTTTGCGATAAAAAAATCAATTTTTGCAAATTTGCAAATTTTTTTGCAGATTCTAAAAGTAGAGCACAAGAACTTTCTAATGATGTATCATTTGTCATACTTGGACATAAAACATGAGATTTAGAGGGGGGGGGGGTCAAATTGACCCCCCCCAGCATATCCTGGTTTTCAAGTACCCCAGCAGGGATAGGGTTAGGCGGCCGGATTCGGTCGTGAAACAATGGCTAAGATCATCAGTGGACACAACAAGAAGGTTTTATACAAACAGAACACATTGAAAGAGAAAGCTTGTAATTTACCAACCATAAATCCTCCTTTAACCATAAAGAACAGGCACACAGTGCATCTCTCTCCACATATGTATGGAAGCTGAAGGAGCAGAAAAAACCTTTCACAATTACCTGGAGTATCAGAGCATCGGTATCAACATATGACAAGGAAACTAGATCCTGCCAGCTTTGTATGATGGAAAAAACGTTGATAATCATAGAAAATAAAGAAAAATCTTTGAAACAAAAGAACAGAAATTCTAAACAAATGCCGCGACACCGAGATAAAGAGCTTCGAATGAATTGGTAATTTTTTTTTAAAATTCAAATAACACTGATCCGCCAACTCTATCCTGAAAATACGCAAACAGAAAAAATACTGGAATATTCTGCAATTGAGAACAGACCTCACTGAAGATTGGTCCTTGTCAATTGGTCCATGGAACATTGTGTATGAGGATTTTTATCTGTTTTTTGATTGAATAATAAATTGATGAAATATAAATATATATTTATATCTTCTTAAAAAAAGTTCAGAACATTTTCTTTTGTTTATTTAATAAAGTTTATTGCTGATATATATATATTAAGAAAAAACATTTGTGTGAAAAAAGAAACAATTTGTTTTATCTAATAAAATGCCTACTTTGTCTATGAAGTGGCCTGTCGATAAGATTTCATTTCTGTGTAATGTCCTGTTTCTTAAATGTCCTATCTATAAAATGTCTGGAATGAATAAATGAAAGGTTTATGAAACTTTATAAAAAAAGATGCAAAACATAAATGAGTTAAATCTATTTGGTATCAGTTTTATTTTGCATGTTTGAAATCAATGAATCAGAAAAGCAGAAAACTCTGATTTTTTAATCCCTATATCTTTGTAAAATGACAGTGTGCACTTTAATATTTGACTAAATTAGATCTAGTAAAATACCAGAAGTCTACAACGTCAGGTTGCAAAGATAAAATGATTAGCTAATATTCACCTTTTTTAAGATTTGTAGGACCTGTTCGTCTCCTGTACAAGTTGATCATTACACTAAGCTGGCCCCTAAATCCTACTGCGAGGGAGATTTATCTCTAAAAACTGTTCACGGTCTTAAATGCAAGGTAGGGGAAATAATTACTTTAACAAAAGTACAATAATACGAATAAACTTCTTTTCCAGTTTTTGTAAGTTTGAACATCTACATATAACATTCATAATCGATTAATACCATTTAAAGGTTTATAGGACTATTATTAAAGGTTTATAGAACTATCATTAAAGGTTTATAGGACTATCATTAAAGGTTTGTAGGACTATTATTAAAGGTTTATAAAACTATCATTAAAGGTTTATAGGACTATCATTAAAGGTTTATAGAACTATCATTAAAGGTTTGAAAGACTATCATTAAAGGTTTATAAAACTATCATTAAAGGTTTATAGGACTATCATTAAAGGTTTATAAAACTATCATTAAAGGTTTATGGGACTATCATTAAAGGTTTATTGGACTATCATTCAAGGTTTATGGAACTATCATTCAAGGTTTATAGAACTATCATTCAAGGTTTATAGAACTATCATTCAAGGTTTATGGAACTATCATTAAAGGTGTATAGGACTATCATTAAAGCTTTGTATAACTATCATTTAAAGGACTATTATAAATTTAATTTTATGTGACACTACATATTGAGAGTGGCATGTCTGATTTACAACGGTATTCTTTATATATTTGTCTGAGCAACAAAAGTGAAGATATCGTCGTTTTTATGTACACTGAACAAATATCTTGAATTCTGTCTTTATGTACACTGAACAAATATCTTGAATTCTGTTTTTATGTACACTGAACAAATATCTTGAATTCTGTGAATAAAGAGAAACTTTGTAAAACAGATATGACTCTATGAATAGAAGGAAGGTTTTACATTAACTTAAAAAATGTTTTAACATTTTATTTTTAATCATTTATGTTTTATAACATTTTATGTTTTTACATTCTATGTTTTAACTTAGGATGTTTTTACATTTTATGTTTTAACATTTTATGTTTTAACATTTTATGTTTTAACATTTTATCATTTTATGTTTTAACATTTTGTGTTTTAACATTTTATTTTTTAACATTTTATGTTTTAACATTTTATGTTAAAACATTTTATTTTTTAACATTTTATGTTTTAACATTTTATGTTTTAATCATTATATGTTTTAACATTTTATGTTTTAACACCTTATGTTTTAAGATTTTATGTTTTAACATTTTATGTTTTAACATTTTATATTTTACCATTCTAATGATTATTGCTACTATCGATTACAATTACAGACATAAATCTTTGGGTTTTCGAAATCAATCATTTGTACAAATGTCTTTCTCTTGGTCCCGATACTTCATTTTATAAATCCGATTAATGTTCTCTCTCGCTCTTTATGTTTAGATATATCTCGCAAATTTTGAATGAATGTGATTTAGCAGCTTTTCTATTTATTGATCTAAATATATCTTTATTATTATTTATTTCGGGAACGTACACAATTTAAATAATTGGTACAAATTAAAACAGACAAAAGAAAAATTATAAGAATATATATAAAAAATGAATATAAATACAAGAAACAAAATTATGATATAATTAAGTCGTGCATATAAAATTAATAATATCGTCAAGCTCAGCTTGGTCAACTCCATTGATAACAATCTTATTGTTTTTTGCAGAAATTAGTTCATTTAAAAATGGAATCCTCCATTCTTCTTCAACGTGTATTTCATATAATTTTTTACAATACGTTTGTCGACTATATTCAAATCTTTGTTGCATTTGTCCGCAATTATTTCTCCGATTTTTTGCATTTACTGACCTTTGATTAAATTTTAAAAGATTTTTCAAAAGTCTGATACAAATTTTGACGAATTTTCTAATGAATAAATGAATGAAACAAATCTACTGCAGTCGAACATGGTCATAAAATGAGAGGACTGTGACAGTGGTTCGATAAAATATCTATTACAAGTGTTTGGTAATTTAAACACAATTCTTACTGCAGTGTTCCAAGACGAATAAATTCTAAACACGTTTCTGATTTGTATCACGAGTAAATGAATTATCTGTTTGTAGCGTGCATCCAAGATGTTTTACATGATCCACATATGGTAATGGTATATCATTAAGATGAATGGGTAAAATTTTTAAAATATCGATTGGATATTTTGTAAAATTATACATTTAGTCTTAAACTTTTCAACTACATTATTAGTTCTAAATTTCATTGAAAATAAGTTTGCAAATTGTTCACATATTTTCACCATATTTTGTAAACGGTTTCTACTAGAAGCAAGCAATATAATGTCGTCTGCATATTTAAATATGCCCATGAAAACTCCTCCAAGTTGACATCCGCTGCCATAAAATCTTAATCTTGATATCAATTTGTTCATGTATATAACAACTAGGATAAGAGAGGAAACTGCTCCTTGTTTCACACTGTTGTAAACTTTTAAAAAGTCTAGATACACTACTGTTCCATCGTACCTGGTATGTTAGCCCTCTTTATAAATATAATAATGTTCTCAGAACAGCTGGAGTTACTTCTCTCTCTTCAAGTTCCTTTAATAGCTGTATCCAGGAAACACCATCGAAGGCTTTGGATAAATCCATTTAACAAGCAAAAACAGGTCTTCCAGCTCGGTTATAATAATCTATAACTGACGTTATTACCCAGGAACACATATTCGTTCCAGTTCCTTTCTGAAAACCAAACTGTAATTCGTCCATATTTAGTTTGTCATTCTCCATGATAAGAATTAAAGAATCAAACCATTTAATTTTTAAGTTTCCTATTGCAATTGCTCTGTAATTCTCACTAGAAGCTGTATCCCCTAGGTTATCCTTGGTTATCAGGATAAGAGTACAAATTAAGAGAAATTTTGGCACATTTCTATATAAAACGAAACTTTGAAACAGCTTTGTTACATGGTTTATCAATAAATCAGATGAATTCTGAATGCAATCTGATGTAAAATCAAATACATTATCACTTTTTCCAGGTTTTAAGTGCTTTCTTTACATCTGTTGTTGTAATCCTTGTCACATCTAAAATATGTTTTCCCGTTATTTTCTCACTAATATTTCTTTCTAAAGAATCTAATTCCGCAGTTTTATCTTCATGTATTGAGAACAGCTCTTGACAAATACTCCACAGTTTTATCTTCATGTCTTGAGTACAGCTCTTGATAAATATTCCACAGTTTTATCTTCATGTCTTGAGTACAGCTCTTGAATATATATTTGCAAACATGTTTGAAATATTTTCCGAACCTGTAACTCCATCCACACAATCACTGGTTACCTTGACATTTCCTCTAATATTTTCCGAACCTGTAACTCCATACACACAATCACTGGTTACCTTGACATTTCCTCTAATATTTTCTGAACCTGTAACTCCATACACACAATCACTGGTTACCTTGACATTTCCTCTAATCTTCTTTATTGTCCTCCATTTAATACTCCATTCAGAAATGTATCCGTCTGTTCGCCGTCCATTCCTCTTTTAAACCGTCTTACTGCATATTTATACTGTATTTTAAATCTTTTCATGGTATCATATAATTCACCATTGTTCGGAGCTCCTGCAGCCCTCCATAAACCAAAACTTACTTTCTTCCTGATAAAGGCGCACATACTCATTCCATCCTGGCATAGTTCTTTTTCTATTTTGTCTATGATTGTTTGTTCACGATAAACACTCCTTAGCTGCAAGCTCTATGGATTCACAAATGTTCATAGAATAATCTTCAATCTCATCATAATGTAAGCTGCAATGCATTGATTTACAACTTTCACAGTTCATGGGAATGTTAGTTTCTTGAAGTTTAAGATCAAGATAGTTTTTAGCTCAATTTTTCAGCTTCATTTGCTTTTTTCCAACTTGGTTTTTTAAAACAGGTATCTCACTTATAAAACTACGATTTAGATTGTCTACATTCAATTTACAAAATATTGGATGATGGTTTGAAGTATTGTTAGGACAATTCACTTTACCGCCTCTGTAATGAAATTATAAAAGGTTTCATTTTGAAATAAAGTGATCTGTTGTGGAGCAATGAGTGATCCCATTTATCTTATTTGAATAAGTATAATCAATTTCTTGAATATTCTGATTAATATGAGCTTGGTTCCATATTACTTGATAATTTAGATTATTCACAAAATCTGAAATTGAGTTCACAAACTGAGTATTTCTTCTAAAGTCACAGTTTAGATCACAGCAAATAAGAACACTGGAAAGCATATATATCATTGATCTCAGCCAGAGTTTGAAAAAGTTCTTGATCATTAAAATCATGTTGAGGATCATGCATCAAATACAAGTTGATAAGAAGGAGTGAACTTAGTGGAAAAGTAAACTTTGTTGCCTGAATTCTGAAGTTTTCACATTTAATTTGTGAAACATATTTGATAAACATTTCTTCCTCATTGTGATTAAGCCTCTCTTCCCCCTTCCTCGGGTTATAACATTGTTATCCTTTACAGCTGGTGAAATGAACATATAGAAAGTTGTATCCACATGCCGAAATGATTTTTTCCGTATTATTGTACTTTTTGCTCCCAGAGTTTAAAACAAAGTGTTCTTGAACGCACACAATGTCGGAAAATAATTGAAGATGGCCTATAAATTCTTGCTTATCTAATCCAAATCCTCCAGAGTTATAGCTCTATACACATAGTTGATTATTATTATCGATGGTTTCATGCAATTACATTGTCCTGCAAATGTGTAAACCAGTTCTGCATCACCAGAATTGGTGAAACCTCTCTAAGTTGCCAAATACCGGGGTTTGCATTACTCATCAGAGGCCATAAAGTAGGATCCATAGCTTTGACAAGATCCTCAGCAGGAACTGATATCTTATAGCTGGATACATGTGTATTGTCTCTGCTCTTTCGCTCAATATCTTCAACTGAAATATGTATATAACCCTCAGCCAAGTCTGCCACATTGCATGTCTTCCTTAATGGTTGTTTTGTGCAAATAATAGACAAAAATATCCTCCGGGGGCTTTGCATCTTTCTAGTTTTTCCCAAACTAGAACCAGTAACAACAGTTTTCTCAGTATTTCTTCTCTTTACAGGTTGGGGCTCTGATTCGGTTACTGGAGCAGATCTTTTGACACTCCCTAATCTTTCTCTTCCTTTAGATGCAGAGTAAACATTGGGAGCTTGAAACCTATTCTGTCCTGCCACAGACGCATATGAATTAGGAGCTGAAGAGTTTCCATTTTTCATGATATGCTGGTGTAGTGTTTAGGACCAAATATAACACTACTATAAGATCCCTCTATTCTCAATAGAATATATAACAAGGAATGGGTTATTCTATGGAGAGAACTGATAAAAAGGGGTGGCTCTCAAGTCTTCAACTGAATGCCTTTTTAGGTTTCATTTAGCTGTTCTCAACCAGGATGTCTCTGAACAGCTTCATCAGCTTTGTCCATCTCATCTAGGTGTATTAGTTCAGGATCTCTAACCTTGAATGCTTTGTTGAACAGCTCTGGAGAAGGATTGCCCTGAGGAGATTCCTCAGATTCAGTTAAGTCTTCTAGCTCTATATCTGGACGAGGAGTCCTAGGATTGGATGATTCAAATGAGGATATATCATGCATATATATAATTTTCTAAACTCATGTGCCTTGTTGAGCAGTTCGGGAGTAGGATTGTCCTGAGCAGCTGCCTCAGATTCAGATAGGCCTTTTAGTTCAATATCTGGACAAGGAGTCCTAGGGTTGGAGGATCTAGAGGAGGATATGTCTTCCTTTAATTAGGGTAGCTGTTCTTCAACTATAGCTTGTAGTTTGTCAACTGCAGCTTCTATATCTTCTGCTGGTTCATATAATGATTTACCAAGTTTCTTAGCTGTTCCTGAAATTAAAAGATGTTCTGGGGTTGGAGATTGAACTGGAGGAGGATCTGGTTCTGGAGTATCTCTGGGGAATTCTTTTTACTCTGCATCCAAGTTGATATTTCCCCAGCTAATGGTTGGGGAGAGCGGTCTGTAAAAAGCAGCTTTCCCAAGATCTCTTAAAATCTCCTGTGAACCATAAACCTCCAGGTTTCTCAACCATATCAGGAGGATGGTAGATCCTATCCCAAAATATCTCCCAAAATATCTTCCTCTCTTTGAGTCATTTGTCTATTTTGATATTCTAGCTGCTCTTGGCCATCCACAAGGTTGAGTCCTTGTGTAGAATCTTCTTCTGAGTACAGAGCAGCTCCTGAAGTACTTGCAATACAGTCCAGTCCTCCTCCATTTATACTCCTTGGTGGTTCTGTATCTGCAGTGTTTCTGTTTATAGAACCAGCTGTAGAAGTTTCCCTAACTTGTAGTTGAGCTAGCCAAACTGTAGTTGGACTTGTTTCTCCTGGATCCGTTGGTTGCTCTGTATCATTAATGGCCTTGTATAAAAAACCAGCTTGAGAATATATAGTTTGTCTGGTGTATTTAGGTCCCTGATTGGACTAGCTGGAATTGTTACAATCAGGGGGTAGTCCCGAATAGCCAGTACGAGTATAATTGGTCAATGTCTTGATGAGACTGATGAGTCTGATGATACATATTCATGTAAAATGATGGGGGAAGATGCTGGTGGTCTTCTGTGTTCCCTAGTGACATTTGTAGATTCATCTTTCTGTTAGCTTTCTGTTAGCTGTATGTTGTGCAAGCTACCCAGCCTTTCTATACAAACGGGAGAATAAACTCTGCGTCTGTATTCTAGAAAGGATGGTTGTACACCGTCCAATCTCCAGGTTTTCTACTCTGCTCAGAACCGGGGAAAGGGTTGATTCATCTTCAGTATATAATCACACTCTACATATTATATCATGGTTTAAATATTACATCATTTTATGTTTAGCATTTTATGTTTTAATATTGTATGTTTTAACATTTTAGGTTTTAATATTACGTGTTTTAACATTTTATGTTCTAACATTTAATGTTTTAACATTTTATGTTTTAACATTTTATGTTTTAACCTTTTATATTTTAACATTTTTGCTAAGTTTAATATTTAATTATACCGAGGGAAAAAATTGAAAATAATCTTGAATTTTAAAAAAATAAAAGGTATCGATAAAAATTGTACACAAATGGTACAATAAATATTTAATAGAGGAATCAAGTCTTATTTTGACAAAAAACTATTATATGGCTCTTAAGCATCATATTTTTGCTAAATAACAAAATACAACATTGGGCCGTCCTAGTGTTTTTCAATTTAACAAATTTACCTTAATAACGTTTTACAGGTTAAGAATGGCACTAGTAGTTGTATGGTCGGTGGAGAGGGATATTCATTTTGTGATACAGAGTTCCTTTTTTTCAGGTAGAGTAGATAGTTTTTCAGGTAGAGTAGATAGTTATACTAGTACTAGTAGTTGTATGGTCGGTGGAGAGGGATATTCATTTTGTGATACAGAGTTCCTTTTTTTCAGGTAGAGTAGATAGTTTTTCAGGTAGAGTAGATAGTTTGTTGTGATTCAACAAAATTGAAATAAAATGTTTTGTTCATTCACGTACGACAGAGTTATTATAAGGATTTCCAATCGAAATTCCGTGGCGCGAATTTTGCGCAATTGCGTGCATTGATCGCTTTCGCTTGAACCAATAAATTGCGCGCAATTGAACTATAATAAAGTATTTGCTTTGCAAGTATATTCGTGCTTAAATAATTTTACATTCGGACACTCAAGGCATTTTTGTGCAACAGCGTTTTTTGCATGCCACTGGTGAAGTTGAAAAGGATTTTTTTTAAATTTGAAAACAAAATCAAGGATCAAATGGAATATCATTTCAAAATTGAAACACAAACGCAAGAAAGTTTTAAAGAATTATTAATGAATGAGCACGATTGAATTGCGTTGGATTCCCTAGTAACTAGTACACATTATTTTGTTTCTTAATGAATTGGTAAAACTTAGTTTCCCTTATCAACTAATAAGGAACTCAAACTCTTGAATTTTAAGGAATTAGGAATAAAAAGTTTTGTTTATTCAAGAATTACGAATACAGAGTTTTGTTCATTTAAAACTAGGAATACAACAGTGTTTTGTTTATATAGAAATATGAATACGAAGTTTGTAAAACAATCTTTTTTCTGTCCATTTTCCAAAAGTCTTTTTTTGTTTCCTAGACCTAGGCACTTTAATATTTTAATAGTACTGGGATCTTTTTTTTTTTTTTTTTAGAGCTGGGCACTTCTTTCTTTTTATGAACCTAGAGCAATGCACTTTAATATTTTTGCAATTTAGGGCCGGGCTCTTTTATATTTGTGTTACCTTGGCATAAAGCTGGGCACTTTTATCTACTTATGTTCTAGAGCTGGGCACTTTCATCTATTTATTTCCTAGATCTGGGCACTTTTATCTTTGTACTATCTAGAGCTGGGCAATTTTATCTTTTTGTTGAAATAGAGCTGGGCACTTTTTTCCACTTATGTCCTATATCTGGGCACTTTTATCTATTTATATCCTAGAGCTGGGCACTTGTATAAATTTATATCTTAGAGCTGGGCACTTTATCTTTTTATGTCCTAGAGCTGGGCAATTTTATCTTTTTATGTTCTAGAGCTGGGTACTTAATTTATCTTCTTATGACCTAGAGCTGGAGACTTTTATCTATTTATGTTCTAGAGCTGGTCACTTTTATCTATTTATATCCTAGAGCTGGGAACTTTTATCTATTTATATCCTAGAGCTGGGAACTTTTGTCTATTTATGTTCTAGAGCTGGGCACTTTTATCTGTTTATGTTCTAGAGCTGGGCACTTTTATCTTTTTATGTTCTAGAGCTGGACACTTTTGTTAATTTATGTTCTAGAGCTGGGCCCTTTTATCTTTTTATGTCCAAGAGCTGGACACTTTTGTTAATTTATGTTCTAGAGCTGGGCACTTTTATCTTTTTATGTTCTAGAGCTGGGCACTTTTATCTTTTTATGTCCAAGAGCTGGACACTTTTATTTACTTATGTCCTAGAGCTGGGCACTTTTATCTATTTATGTCCTAAAGCTGGACACTTTATTCTACTTATGTTCTAGAGCTAGGCACTTTTATCTATTTATGTCCTAAAGCTGGGCACTTTTATCTTTTTATGTCCTAGAGCTGGGCACTTTTTTCTATTAATGTCCTAGAGCTGGGCACTTTTATCTGTTTATGTCCTAGAGCTGGGCACTTTTATCTATTAACACCTATATCTGGGCACTTTTATCTATTTATGTCCTAGAGCTGGGCACTTTTATCTATTTATGTCCTAGAGCTGGGCACTGTTATCTATTTATGTCCTAGAGCTGGGCACTGGCAAGACTGGGATCTCTGTTCATTATGTACGGAGACTGACAGGATGACACGTAAGTAAGCAAAATTCTTTGAATAAGAACAACAAATATTTATTTAAAGATATGGAAACTGACCTAAAAGAAACCGAACTAAGGGGATAATGAACTAATTATTAAGAAGTTTGTAAAGAAATTATCGTGTAGTTTTAACTCTCCGATACAGCACGTTATATAGATAGATACATCGACAGATATATTATATAGATTGACAGGCGTGTTGTTATAGGTTCAAATCTTCTACCTGACAATTGTTACTTGAACTAAAACCCCTATCCAACTCCAGATATTCCAGATTAGATCTTTTTAGGTCAAAATCTTTAGATCAGTTTCCCTCGTTCGGATCATAGGGTACAGTTTTTAGAATATTTTAAATCAAGGAATTGACAAGTTCATAATTATTTCGTAAATTACTATTTATAGCTCTTACTGCTCATGGACTCAGCTGTGACGGGGAGTGTTCTTCAAAATGGAATAACAAGTAAAATACAAATTTGAAAAATACAAAGTTTTCATTTAATATATAATATCTAAAAAATAAATAAAAATTCCTAAAAAACGGAGAATAAGGGTATCCAGACTCATTTGTATACGGATTTTCAAGATTGAGACCATTTTTAAATCTACGTACAATTTCCGATTCAATGAGACCAATTTTAGGCTTCTAAAATTTCCGACTGGAATGAGAACATTTTCTAAAAATCTTGAAAATCCGATTACAAACAGCTCTGTACTCTGTAGAACCTTATTTGCCCTTATTTGAGACAACCTTAATTATGTAATATAATATCGTCTTTGTATTGTCACAAATGAAAATAATCAGTTCTCAAAATGGGAAACATGGATATTAAATGCAACATTTGATCAGAAAAAGCTTTGAAGGGTATTGTTGTGAATCAGAATTGAAATTATGTCTGCAGTCACTTTAAACCTTTTAATTGAGTCTACATTAATTAAACTACTTTGTGAGTTTGTGAATTTTCCAGAAATGAAAAAAGAAATTTAAAAGATGATTTAAAAAAAAAGATAATGAAAAGCTTTTAAAGTACTGAACCCAATATGAAAAATGTTCAACAAATCTCCAGATGTAATAAAAAATATTATATGATTAAAGTCCCACCCAGGGAGGTTCGCGTAGGGAGGGCCCGTGCACCCATGGTTTCCCCTCGTACGTTCCTAGACGAGTACAATAAAAGCATAAATAAACAAATTCTAAATTTCTTGACGAAGAAAATCTTAAAAAATGCTTACTATACTAATAAAAAAAATCCGTTAAAAAGACGATCTCGAATTCATCGACCAATTCCAATGTCTGTGAAAGAAGTTAGCCAGCTACAGTTTTGCCTATTTTTGCGCAATTGCAAATGGAAACCGTACTCAGCTGTAACCTAATCTGTTTTTGTTTACTATATAATGAACATGCGCAGCAAACAAAAATATTTACCTTAAGATTAGCGGCTACAGGATGTTTGATTTATATTTATTAACCCTACGGCCGTTTTTTTGAGGGGGGGCCAACCCCCTTTTGCTTTTTATGCATAAGGTAGGGTGGAGAACGGTTAAACTACTGTACGGTGCAGTGTAAAGTCAAGATACAAAACAAACATTTATTTATTTGAAAAGAGTTTAAAAATGAATGTAAGAAAATGTGTCAAAAGTGAAAATAAATATTTTTCAACATTTTTTCAACGTACTTTTTGATAATTCCCTAAATATTTTATTTAGAGGTATATTGTTTTTTAATAAGCGGTTTCAAAAAGTTGGGCCAGGGCGAGGGACTCTACAGGGAAACCCCCCCCCCCCTATCTATATTAGAAAAAATAGCCCAATCAGGATGGGGTTAAATATGCTCCAAACTGAACAAGTCTAATTTTTAAATTAACCTTGTTCCGTTTGAATTATGTTTTCTTACATAGGTTTATTATGATAAAGAAACAATATAGACAGTGCAATTTTACAATATAATACTATTATTACAATATAGAAGTAGCGTTAAAAATAATTTTGTACCTAACAAGTAGATATTCTAAGCTGCTAACTTATTTTTTTTAGAGAAATAGCTTCCCCGAGATGCAGAGTCAAAGAAAGATTAGAGAATGATGTAAGTTTAGTTTTGTTCAAATTATACATTTTTTACTTTTAAAAATAAATTCCACGGGATTTTCCTTGGCGTGCCATGAATGGGCCAATCGACAATAAGCTAGTCCATGAAAGAGAAATCAAGACTAACGGAATATATAAATTGATCTAAAAGGTTTAATTACAATTATACTAACAAATAACTATAGCGTACTGCATAAATAAATGGAAAACACAATTTAATACAAAGCGCGGGTAAATGGCTGGAGTGACTATGACTATGCATGAATGATAATAAAATAATGTACATGGCAGCCTGCAAAACAATTTTATAATACTGTTGATAATTGTAGCAGCTGTACAACAATTCTATAATACTATAATAATTATAGCCTGAATTTGACTACTGTACAACGTGTGATTCTACATTGGACGGAGGATGCGCAAATATTACACAAATAGACGACAGGCAGAACATCATGATTATTTTACAAAAACCAAATAGGATAAGACTGTGAAGACGACCTATAACTCTTTAAATAAGACGATTTGTTAGCTTACATTATGTTTTTCTGTTATCTATGGCTTTTATACATGTCTTCTCTAAAGTGTCTTATCCTTTAATTAAACTGTGGTGTTTAAACGTAATCTCATGCATTTAAAGAGTTGGATGTTTGATTTACAATGGTGGTACCTTGAATACCTTCACAAAAATAATCAAGCTATCTCTGTTTTTCTATTTGTAATGAAGTGATTAGTTTAACGGTTCTCTATAAAAATGATTTGCGGATTTTCCTTATTTTTAACAAATATAGGCTTAAAGGGCGCTTTGCGCTCATCCTCTTTTTCAATTGTGAACATTTTCTCTTTGTATTCATTGTAAAACAAAAACAAACAAAAATTTCTTTAAACCTTCTCTGGGATTAGGTGAGGTCCCACAACACATTTGGGCCCGATCGGTTCAGCCGTATTGACGTTGATTTAATACAACAAGCAGACACCCAGACAAGCAAAGTATGGCTTGATTTATTGATATTTCGTGTATGCGTGAGCTTGTGCCCACAACCCTTATCCAAAAATAAATTATTAAAGTTAAAAAATATATATAGATGGCTTAAGAGTACTCACTGTCGACAGTCCCTTCAAACAAGAATTTTTTTATCGAAAAAAAATGAGAAAATTTCTGATATTATGTTTTATATAAAAATACCATGATGTAATCTAAACCCTAGACCTGGGAAAGATGTAAAACAGTTCGGATTTGGTAAGCAAAGTTCTTAATTTTATTTTATTTCCGAATCTATTTTTCATTATTTTAAATATTAATTTGAATTTCTTCAAAATTAAAACATCCCTCTAACATATCCTGAAAATGTTCTAAGCAAATATTGAATTCAGTTTTTTTAAAGTAAAATCCCATTAATTTCTCCTTAAAGTAGTTACATTAGCTACAGTAGTTATATCAAGTGTATTTTATTTAAACAATAATATAAAACATCCTTCGTATTTAAGGAGATGGTGTCACCGTTAAGTAGAAGTGGAAAAAGAAACAAAGATGAAAATGGAAATTGTATTTAGTTGCATCATTAAAAGAAATTCAAAATTTAATGTGCAGTTAGGGCTGGGCAAAGTTCTGTTAACGGAACGGAATTTTTCGAAAATTAACGGAAGAGTCCGTTGATAAACGGCAAAAACCGTTAATTTTTAAACCGTTAACGAAACGGATTAGCTGTTTTTGAAAAATAAATTAACGGTTGAAAACGAAAACGGAACGGATTTTTTCAAAACGTTTAATTTCGTTTTTTCTTCTGCTGAAAATTGCATTAAACTTTTAAAAAAATTACGTGTTTTGATGTTTTTAAATGTCTTCTGTGATCACAGCTGAGAAAACGAATAGAGGTAACCTTTGATTTTTGCTAACAAAAATTTGGAGTTGGTCCAGTCGTGAAAGAATCTGGGTTTTTTTCTCAGAATAGGATAAATATAGTTGATTTATATCGAAAAAGGATAAATATAGTTCAAATGCTAGTGCCCTTAATTATTTTTTAAACGTTAAGAATTTGTTGGCTTTTTGCACCGTAAATTATCAAATAGACCCTTGACGACTGGAGCCGTTAATGATTGTTGAAAATTTTCCGTTAACGCCGTTAATAAAATTGAGATCGTTAAGTAACGATAAAAAACGGTAAGTAAAATTAACGGCTACTTGATTTTTTTTATTTTTTAACGGTTAGAACATGCCTAGCCCTAAGTACAAAAGAACATCGGGTTTCAGCGTATTGATCCATACGCCTACCAACGTAAAGTCGTCGACGTTTAAATCAATACAATGAAGACGACTTATCTTGTTATAAAGCTTTTTAAAAATCCAAATTGAAATAGAAAGTAGTCTTCATTGTATTGATATATACAACATCAACTTTTCGTTGGTAGGCGTATGGATCAATACACTGAATGTTGATTTTCTATTGTTGCTTTAACCAAATGACCTTGCATTTAGATATCTTTAACAAAAAATAACAATAAACAGTTAACAACCAGATCTTTCTTATTTTTATATATTCCAGAGACATAGTTCGAGAATTATATTTTAAATCCTCTCTTCAGGTTGCTTGTAAGAAAATGTAATTGAAAATTGTAATTAAAAAAATACTTACAGAAACACAACACCCATAAATAATGTTTTAATCGTCTAGCTCGGAATTTTCAAAGCGTGGTCTACCAATTTGAACTAATATCTCCGTCCATTTAGAAGACACCAGAATTGATTTACCACATTTTAAAAGCCAATGACATATGATATCTTTTTTGAAGTATTCATTGAAATCGAGGCCGATTGATAATTCATGCATAGTACATGTACTATATGTACTTTATTTCTACGATTAAACTCAAGAATCACTTAGCTCGATGAGACCTACATGTGACACTGGGTTTGCCAATCCAACTAGGGCTGGGCGTGTTCCTGTTTTTTTTTAATTGTTCGTTCCTCGTTCTAGAACAAGGAACAAACAATCTAACAGAAGCTCCTCGTTCTAGAACGAGGATCTTCCGTTAGATTGTTTGTTCCTTGTTTGTTGAATTATTCCAATTGTTCTATTACCGTTCCGTTCCGTTCTTTGTTTACAAACTGACAGAATTTAAAATTATACAGATAAATTAAAATTCTTCAATTTTCACCCATTTCTAATGATTTAGAACGCGTTCCTGTTAGAAAGAGTCGAGACTTTTTTTAAACAATTACTGTTCGTTCCACGTTCGTACTTTAATGATCTATTAATAATTTTAAGAACACGTTCTATTTCATGTAATATTTAAAAAAGTAATTTTGCGAAATATTGCAATACTTACGCCTAATTAGCGAAACTTAAATTTGAAAGTATTTAAATTATCCAATCAGATTAAACATGGTTGTAGCGCGCATATCCTTACACATATTTTCCCGCTTTATTCATTTTTGAGAATTAATATGTACTTTACTAATTACGGAATGGTTTTGTACTATGTAATTTCTCGTAATTACGCATTAATATCGCAAAACTAGACTTTCTTTCGTGTACGTAATTAACACGTAATTTCGCGAAATGCTACTCCGTAAACGAAAGAAAGTTATACGCCTAATTAGGACTGGAAACCCTAGAAAGAACGAGTGCTCCCTGAAAACGACGCCCAGTCCTGGATCGAACTCATTAAACAATAAGTTTATGTAGCAACATGTGCCCCCAAATGTTTGCATTGTGCTGCTTATCTTCAGATTAAAGGGACTGTGCATTATTGTCCAGTTACCCTCCATGCAAAGTTCACAATGCAGCTTGATTTACAACGGTACCTTTAAAAACCTTAATCTGATCAAAGATGTGGAAGAAAATGAACTGTTTAAAGAAAAAGCACATTAATATCTAATTCTAACTTGATCAAAAAAGTTTTCAATGGTACCGTTATACATCTGGCCTTGCCAGCTTTGTAAGAAGGGTCAATTGAAAATACGCGTATTGTCCCTTTAAAGTGTGCAATAATCTATATTTGAATTATACGCGTCATCAATATTTTATCTATAGCAATCAGGTATCGTTGTATAAACAATGCTGTTACTATAGGGTTTACAGGACCTTTTTTCTACGCCAATCCGAATTTTCATACAATTTAACGGCCCAGAACTTCGGAGTAATCGAAAGAATTTTTAAAATGTCGTTGTCCAATCTGTCAAAAATGGAATACTGCAGATATTTAGCTTTTAAATTGAATAATTGCATCACTATATTTTCCCTAGAAGGACCTAATTAATGTGGCGTACTGTCCCATTTTGTCTGAGCCCAAAACTTAAGACAGGGTATCGTTATGAAAACCAGTTTTAAAACCCGGGTTTCACGAATGGGTTTAGGCATTTTTGTGAATATCAGTATTCTTGTAATGAAATATTATTTTTTTCAGTTTGTTCATATTCTCCATTTTTTCGAATATCTTAAATCAAAATCTACACAAATCTTAAGACCCCAAAAAGGAAACTCGGGAGTTTCGTTCAATGATACTCTTTTAAATTTCGGGCTCTGGTATAGTCTTTATGTGTACTGTACAGCATGCCCTGCTCCTAAAACAGTCAGCCCGGCACGCACTTGAAATGAACCAAACTTTTCCTTGATATGGAGCTCTTTAAAACTGTATCCGTATAATAAAAAAAAATTTTTTTTACAATATTTGAATTTTAGGTATAATAGTATAAGGGTGTCCCGCATCAAATTAGACCGCGTCAATAAGTCTAAATTACAATTTGGGGGACAAATCGGAAAATTTAAGAAGAATTTATAATTTTGAAAAAATTAATAAGGCTAATAGAAAATTGTTTTGGGAGAAAATGCTAGTTTTTTTTGAGTATTATGTGCGTATTTTGGCGTTAAAGATTGGAGATAATCTAATATGATATGGGACGCTCTGTATAAAAATTATTGAAAAATTGTGCTAGGACCTAGACAATATTTCATGAATAAAGTGCTGGGTCAAACTGTACGCATGAAGTGCTTCCAACTTTTCCGGTTTATTTGGTTTCTTCAAGGTCTCACGTACAGGGACTGTAAGCGTAAAATCAACCGAAATATACGTTTCACTGCAAAAGTGACTCGGAGAATATTTCTGACTCGAAATTATCAATTTTCGAGTCAGAAATATAATTTTTAATCAGATAAAGGTTTCACCGATGTAAATCAAATCGGGTATTGCTACATTTGCATCTATAGGTCACTGAAAACTTACAGAGTTACAGGCTTACAGCTTACAGCTTTAATCCTTAGAATAAAATATCAAACGTTTAAGTTTGCTGATTTTGTTTATGGCGTTAAGTTTAGAAACTTTTCCTAGAATTAAATAATTAGCCCTGAACTTTGAACCTAGAAGGATATGACAAGCAAATAAAACGGATCCGGCCGCATTCTAATAACTTTTTATTTCTTATTTGTACGTACAAAATGAACGCTTCTCATTCTTTCCTAGAAAAAGCAGTTAACTAGATTGGTAATATCTGGCTAGATACTTCGAGCTAGCCATGTTTAAACTTTTGCAGCTCTTTAAAGGGACTGTTAGTGTAACTTTAAGTTAACCATTATGTAAAGTTGGAAATCACATTTGTACCCATGAATTCTCCTATAGATGTAAATCAAAATTAGGATTATATGTTATTTTTTTCCGTGAGGATGTGCGCCTAGCAAAGAAAAACATCAACATCAATTAAAATTCATTGATGGTGATGGAACAAACCTCTGTAGAGTAAAAAAGTAGATATTAGTTCCACATTTATTGAAAATATATTTCGGTCTGGGTTGACCCTCGTCAGTTCTAACGATATAATAACCATCAAAATCAAGTAAAAAAAAATGTAAAAATGTAAAAATCACAAGAAGATAAACAAACAACAAAAAATTATTAAAAATAATAATTACGGCTGTCAAATGGACATAAGGTAAACGAACTCAGATTATGAGATGGAAAAAAAGATAATTTGCAAATATTCACTTTTAAAAAATGTTTTAAGACAATTATTATTCCTTGAGATTGTTTCTTCACAAAGATCCAAATCCTTTCTTCTGCGCGCCTTTGCGTTTATAAGTGCAAAGATTCATCTCTCAAAAAAAGTTTTCTTTTTATTTGTCAAAATCGTTGGTCTGTGTGCCGCACATAAACGCATGAAAATGACATATGATAAAAATCGGGCAGATTACCTATATAGAGATGGGGCAGATTACATATATAGAGATGGGACAGATTACATATATAGAGATGGGACAGATTACATATATAGGGATGGGACAGATTATAAATATAGAGATGGGACATATTACATATATAGAGATGGGGCAGATTACATATAAAGAAATTAGGCAGATTACATATATAGAGATGGGGCAGATTACATATATAGAGATGGGGCAGATTACATATTTAGAGATTGGGCAGATTACATTTATAGAGATTGGGCAGATTACATATATAGAGATTGGGCAGATTACATATAAAGAGATTGGGCAGATTACATATATAGAGACGGGGCAGATTACATATATAGAGATTGGGCAGATTACATATATATAGAGATTGGGCAGATTAAGTATATAGAGATT